ATCACCCCAGACATGTACAAATTACTCAAAAAAAGTAGTTAAGTTAAGTTACTGAGTATCGACGCCAAAAGTAGTTGAAGTGGAGTAGAAATTACGCATTTGAAATAGCAATTGAGTAAACTACTAACTACTATAAAAAAGTAGCGAATTACTTTGAAGTTACTTCCGAAGTTACTTTTTATGTTTTTGTGGCAGCAAAGTGAACAGAAATTTTGATCAGTGAAAAACCCTGCGAGCCGGAAATAAATGCAGTCATTTTATGACTTCCAAAATAGTTTATTCGCTCGCCGAAGCAATTGTCTTTCAAAGTTGTTATCGGGGAGTTTTCCTCTTTTCCTTCTAATAACGCCCTCGGTCAAGCTAAAAAGACGCTCCACCGTGGCGCTGGATGCAAAGACAGCGTTCAATTTCAGAAGCATGCTGTGCAGGGTCGGGTAAGCGAGTGTTGGCATCTTTGGTGTCCATGACGAAACATGTGAGGCTTGAGAGAGAGAGAAGTCTTGCAAAAGAGGAAAAACCATCGTTGGAGTTACAGCCATGGGCCGAACGGTCATCGTTGGATTGGGGGGAGGGGAAGGGGATAAAAGCTGATAGAAGAGGGTCTTTTATAACAAACTCTCCTCTTTTTTTTTCTTTTTTTCTTCGGAAAGTTGAGATTGTTATGACTGGGCTTTATTCTCACGACGTTCGGAGATTTCGCCGAGCGAGTGCACTTGACCGTCAAGGAATCAAGTCTCGCGCCACGACGATGAGATCATCCGGACGACTGCGCGTCTCGTTGCAATATCATAGCTACGCCACTTAAAAAAAAAAAAAAAAAAAAAAAAAACGTTTTTTTTTTGCCGTTGACGTTGGGTCCAACAAAAGGATCTCCCAAAGGTGACTCGAAATCCTCGCCGGCGACTACGGTATCCTGACGCGTCTGACAAGTAAAACGTTTTCAACAAAGAGGAGGTCTCCCTGGCGTGGAAGGTCGGAAGGACGCGAAGGATTACGTGAACAAGCATCGGCGCTCGTACAGTTGCAGCTGGAAGAGGGAACGTGCTCCCATGAACGGATTATCCGTGTCTGCGTTTATGCGCGGGGGAGTCCGCTTTGCAAGGGAGTATGCGCTGACGACGAGGCGACCATGAGAACAGGCACCCAGCTGCGAGGTCATCCCAGCGGCGCCTACCGTGGAACCTACCACTTGAGTCAGAACTCACTAAAGGCACACCATGAAAACAACAACCCTCGGAGTGTCCCCGTCTTTCACGTTTGCAGCTGGAAACGCGGCGCTTGCGTGCATTACCGGATTAGGTCAACACCCGACCAAGGCTTGTCAAGCATCTCTGACTGCGTTCGTGCGCGCCGGTGTTATGTTTTGGCTGCTCGTCGTCGCCACCTTGGCCCAAGGACGTCTGTGATGCAGTTTCTATGGCTGCCGAGTGTAAGTGCGTGGGAACGGAATGTGAGGGGGCCCCTTCGTGAATACCACTTAAAGGAGCGATGCAACAATTTTTGTACTTTGCGCAAATACCGCTTAAAACAGATCCCTAACGTTAATGACCTATGAAACACGCGTTCGTTTTTCACCCCACGCAATAGAAGTCCCAGAAAAAAATTAAAGAAAGACGAGCAGCGTTCACTCCCTCAACTCGCAGCCAGAACAAGCGGCCACGTGATCTGGAGCCGATTATATGCCGCCAGTGTTGATCATAGCCACGCGCTGGGGTTGGCAAAGCGCAGGACACGCGCTGAGTTCCAGACATTGTTATGGCTCGGCTGTTGTCGTCGTTGCAGCGATTGGACACGGGTCACAGCCCGAATGCTTCTCGAGCTAGCAATTGTCACGAGCCCAAGTCGAGTGCCCACGCAATGCTTGGGTCCAATCTATGAACCGCATTCAAATATCGTCACTTGGGTGTACTGCGATCCCCGAGTTACGTCATCAAATTTTGCAAAGGAGAGATTGAATGAAAATGATCGCTTTTGTCCTTGAAATTACACCGTAACAAAGGAGTTTCTTGGCCAATGGCGTTGCGTGTGAGTACCCTTGAGTCCCAGGTGTGCCAGTAAGCCCGTGTAGAGAGAAAAACATTCCAACTGAATATCGTTGCACAGCTCCTTTAATCTGCCAGCGTCTTATTTATTTCTCAACTCAAACTTTTGTGATGAAAAAAAGTAGGATTAAATTTCGAGAGTAGTTAGTAATTTGAGTAGAAGTTACCTGAAAAACGTAGTTAAATTAAACTACTAATTACCCAAATAGAGTTGTAATTGAAAGTTACCAAGTTACTCGGAAAAGTAGTTAAACTATAGTAGTTTGAGTAGTGTAGTTGAACTACGTCCAAGTCTGCATCACCCACATCCCTCCCCGATAAGTATCCCCCGTGTGAATACCCCTTGACATGTGCTATCCGGCTAGTATATAGGATTCCACTCCCAGTGTGGCCGCACCTTCGTTGGGCCAACGGAACGCTGCCACAACGGTAGGGTCTGAGAACACAGGTATTCTCTATTAGCCACTGTGGGAGGACACCTGCCGGTTCACAGTAAAGAGTGCCTGTGCGAACCGGTCGTCTAGTTCTACCACCATTTTAGGACGACACAAGTACAAGGTGACACGCGAAGTGCTGGAGGCATTTCACATCCACAGTAGGGGAGAAAGCTGTATACATGTGGCCTCAGTGGCGTTGTTCAGGAACAAGCTGGAGTTCCTGAAAAGGACAATGAAGGGCCAGCGCGTGCCATAGTTACCAGCTATTATGGGTGGAAGGTGCGCGTGTGAATTTGTGGTGAGTTACTTGTTTTCTTTCTTCTCTATCAGTAAAAAGCGAGCTGGTTCTCCTGAAAATGACAACGAAGGGTCAGCGCGTGCCGTAGTGAGCAGTTAGGATAGGTGGAAGATCCGCGTGTGAATGTGTGCTCGTTGCGTGTTTTCTTTCTTCTTCCATAAAAAAAGAAAAACATATAAAAACATGGAGGTAGAAAGCTTATGGAAGCAACATGACGCCACCAGAGGTGAAGTGCAAGGAGACTTCTGGTTTGGAGAGACGCGCCCCCAACGATTGCTGAACGAACAAAACCACAAGACGCTATTGGACGAAAAAGACAGCTGATTTAGCGCCAGAAGCTTTTTTGGTCGGGCGTTCGGGGCGTTCTGACCGACCGCGGCCGTCTTCTACTTCCGGCTTCACTTGGGATTTGTTTGTTTGGCTGGCTTGAGCCGGTATGTTGCCGCCTCTTCTTCTACACACGAATTAATCTCCGTTACATCACGGCGCGGTGGTGGCGCGTCGGGCGCACTTCTGGTTTTTGGGCTGTGGGCGGAAGGCCCCATGTGAGGCGTGCATTCCTGCGTTGTTTTAAAAGGAACCAGACGAAAACATGCCTTTTCGTCAAACCGCTGCGACTGGGGCTGTACCAAAAGAGTCGAGAAAGGTTTGAAGATCAGTTTTCATGTGCTCGGTTCGTCCGAAAACGTGGATATGTGCCGCCGGACCACAATTGCTTGGGCGGGAAGCACTTTGCGTTGAATTCACGGATACCTGTGATCATCACATTTATTTGTTTTGTTCCAACATGAATGTCGGAGAACCGTCAAGTTGTATGGCCCACCTGTGGACTACCTTCAGTGCGTCTTCAAGTTCAAACGGCCGCCTGATCGTTCGATCTGTCGTCTGCTCTTTCAAACGTTTCTGCCTGTCGTCTGCTCTTTTAAACGAACCCGGTCCGTAGACCAAACGTGGGCCCGGTGCTTGCTATAAGAAGTAAGCGCAGGCCTCAAAAGACTTCGGTTCGAAGGTTGGTAAGCAGGCTGGATGTAAACAGTAGATAGAAGGAGATGTTGATAATTGTTACCACTGGCCATCACCGATTTGTTATGCCTGATTCACTTGGTTCGATTCTGCTTGCCATTTTAAGTATCGACATCGACCATCTCAGCTACGTTTTACGCTTTTACAGCCCGAGCGACGTCGCGACTGAAAACTGCGAGCGAAATCTCACCATGCGAATCAGGCTTTAGCGTACATTCTGCGGCGCCCACGTGAAATGAATCGCCGCATGTCACATTATTCACGCGAAGTTTTGCGGTGTAACCAGCCTCGTTAATTTCGCCGAGGTTACTCAAGTAGTCAGACATTGCCAGGAAGACGTAGTATTAACAACTCGAACGCGAAAAAGGGCAGAGGGACTCACACCGACGCCGACAACGTGGCATTTCAATGGTTTGTTTATGGGCGACGGCGAGCTTCTTGCCCACACCCCCATCGCGCATGCGCGGCGCCGGTGGCGTCCGCTAGCGGCGCTCCGGCTTGTTTATAAGCATGAGTTGGTGTAAATCTCCATGTAAAAAACGAATATGGTCAAGTCAGTGCTTGTCCAGTAGTGCATGCTCAATTATTTTGTCCTTGTCTTTTGCGCTGTGTTTGGTTCAGTACGTTGGGTCTTCATTGCCTGACTGGGTTGAAAGTTTAGCAGTTGTGGCTTCTGGAGACATTAGGTAGATTGTTGTTGTGTATAAAGGATACTGTGCATAAATAAATATTCAGCTGTGTTTGAGACTGTCGGGACTATCTTCTTATGTGCACTTGTTGTGAAAGCGCAACATCCAAACCGACAGTGACTACCACTTTCCGCGTTCCCATGCAAGCAGGCATTCGCTCGATGGTCGTTGCTGATACGGTCGCACTAGAGCAGCGATAGAATCGAGCACATTGACGCAACTTTTTTTCTCACTGTGCGCAGTTTCCCAGACTCTTGTAGGGCACCTAGACTTGAACACAAAACCCAACCTTGGGTAGTACGCTCCATCTTTGGGTTTGTTATTTTCCGTTTAATGATATAGTGCTTGAAATGTCTGAAGGAAAGTAAAATATCTCCAATTCTGTTATATTATAGGGGGTAACTTACACTAATATGTCTGTCAAGGATCAGCTAGCCAACGTTTACCGTGTTTAAATTGAGCTGTGTCATCTATCTGCGCACTAAATAGATCGTTCGACGTTTATTCGCAGCTCGTTTTCTGAACTCCAGTGTGGACTGGAGCGTGAATCCTTGCGACAACTTCTACAAGTTCGCCTGCGGCAGATGGAAGAGTAGTCACCACATGCCCAACTACACGGACGAGCGCTCTCTGTTTACCGTCCTCAAGCGATCAATCGACATGGACATTCTGAGTAAGTGCGGCGCCATTTTGTCGGATTGCTGCGCCATCTACAATCGGCTGGACCGTCTCCCTCCCACTCATGATGCCTGCAACGCGCGTCCGACTGGTGCGTCTACCGCGTCCTAAAAAATGCTCCCCCAGTTCCGACTGATGACGTCGTGGATGTGTCGGTTTTCGCCGGCCGCGATTCTGGCGGTGTATACAGCGGAGGCGGTGGTTGTGGCAAATGCCTGTTCTCCTGCAGGCCGCTCTCCACTCCAGCTTAAAGGCCTGTTCACACTGTTGCGACCGAGTAAGACCGAGAGAGACCAGACCGGTTTTTAAGCCTTTTGCGATGAATTAGGACCAGATCCGCTGCAGCGCATCCGGTCCTAAGACGTCGCAAGAGGCTTAAAAACCGGTCTGGTCTCTCTCGGTCTTACTCGGTCGCACAATGTGAACGGCGCTTTAAGGCCCGTTCACACTCTTGCAACCGAGTACGACTGAGAGAAAGCGAGGCTTGTTAAGACCTCTTAAAATTTCTTAGGACGAGAAAACACGCTGCCACTCTGGCGCCATATATGCGGTTACCCTGGAACTGCATTTCACAAGAACGAAGGTTTTGCGGTATTTCCGAGGTGAAATCTGCGTAATATCTATAAGGAAGGCTCTTTTATAACGTTGACAAAAGTTTTTCGAGCCAAGAAAGAAAGGCTCGAGAGAAATAGAAAATATGCCGGACTGCCAAGTTTACACTGCTACCCAATAGATGGCGCCAATGTATCCTCTTGTTGTAAGAGGTTATAATGAACCCAGTTTTAAGAGGTCGCAAGAGTGTGAGCAGGCCTTTATAGTTCACGCAAGCGTTGGCAGCCAGGAGTTGCGACGCCGCGACGACAGCGACACTCGTGTTCGTTTGTGCGTTTTAGGGGCGAAGCTCCTTAGGGGCTAGCCATGTCCGTATGTCCGTCCGATGTCCGGCGTTGCGTGCTCGTGCTCACGAGCACGTGAGCACGTGCTCCCGTGCTCGTGTAGGGTAAAAAAAAATATAAAAAAACCGTATCACTACGTGGTGAAGGATGTTGATTGGGGCGAAGCTCTGGTGGGTGCTTGTCAGCGTAGACGGTGAGCCGCAGCATGCCGAGCCTTTCGTTCGTTTTCATCCATGTCACGCTGCGGTCAAATGCTCAAATGCGTATAGACGATTGCAAGCTGGGCGACTGGCCGCCGCCATGTCTCTGCTCGAGCAGGCACGCCCGTGCGATTACGAGCTTGCCAAAGCTACGTTCACCCGCGCGTTCCACGCGCTTGCACGCATGGGGCACCACTTGTGGCGCCATGCTTGCAATTGTCTATACAACCAGGTGCCATACCACACATTCTCTTTCTAACGTGGACGAAAACGAACGAAAGGCTCGGCATGCTGCGGCTCACTGTCTACGCAGACAAGCACCCACCAGAGCTTCGCCCCAATCAACAACATTCACCACGTGGTAATGCGGTTTTTTTTTTCCTACACGAGCACGGGAGCACATGCTCACGTGCTCACGTGCTCGTGACCCGACGGCGGACGGACATACGGACATGGCTAGCCCCTAAGGAGCTTCGCCCCTACTACCCCTGTCCAGGTGATAGACGAATCGACGAACCAGCGCACGTCATAGCGCACGTGCGCACGCCGTAGAGCACGTGCGCACTCCACATCGAGAGCTGATTGGCCGATTTTATAAAGGAGCTTAGTGAAAAGCATCTTTAGAACGCCGTCTGACAGGGGTATGCGGATATTTGCTTGAGAATCCTCGGACGTCACATGGTGACAACGTGTGTCATGAGAAAACAATAGTAGGTTCCCCACCTCCAGCTCCCGTTTCCCGCTCTTTTTACATGGCCTCCGCCAACAAAGCCCCGAAGTAGCCTCCCAACATGGCTGCGAATTCCGTAGAACACTTTAATGGTGCATTTTTTGACGCCTAGTGTATACCCAATACCGAAGAGAAGACCCACACATGACGCCTTGTTAGTGAATGGATCCCCGACTCCGCCACAAGCGACAAGCACGCTGACCCTGGACGAGAATCATCGCAAAGCGGCAGACGCGTTCGTCGCGGCGTCGTCTCTTGCTAGCGTCTTTTCGTTGCGAGACGCTGCAAGACGCACGTCTGAAGGAAAAAGGCGCACGTCATGTTTTCTAGTAGTATTGGACCTTGGACCTTGGTGTACCTGCGTACGTTCGTCCAAAACTCGTTCTATTTTGTTTTCTTTGTTTGGCCCACTGATGTATTGGACGGCCGTCCGCAGACATCCTGAATGCCACTGTTCTACCCGACGAACTGCAGACTCCAAACCAGAAGGCGGCGGGACTGCTCGGAGGCTGCATCAATACCAGTAGGTGCACGTTCGGCTCTCCTAAACATGAAACATCCGAAGTAAAGACCTTTGCAGCGTTTATCACCCGGGCAAAAAATGCTGAGTCACTAAGCTGTGGACGCATCCACAGCGTCTGATATGCCGCCCAACAGAGCAACAGCGAATGCGCAGAAGGCGTTCCACAGCCCAGCAGACAAAGATGGCTGCGCGCAGAAGGCGATTTACGCAATGGCCTATAGACCAACTCTGCGACGTCATGCCACTGAGGTGGCGCTGCTGTCGGAACTGCGCATGTGCAAACGCTTCATCTCACGCGAATCTGGCTTCTGCTCGGTGCCCACACCCGGTTGTTTGTAGACAGGGCGTTGGTGCATAGGAGTCACGCAGTTATCGAGCTATCGGCCATGTGCGAAATTCTTGTCAGCTATCATAAATGTTCCCTTCAAAAGCGCCATTTCGTTTTCTGTATACGTTTTCTCGCTGTGGACGAGGCTCGTCTGCATTTAACTCGGTTTTCCTGGTATTACGACAATGATTTTGTGCACTCAATAGGTTGCTGCTTAGTTTCGATTCAAAGAAGAAAATAAACTCGGCCGCGAAATTCCGGAAAAAGAAATTGTCAGAAACGAGGTGGCGATATTCCTCACTCAAGCATTGAACCGGGCCATCCAGCTCTGTGAACGGTCTTTATCGAAGATGTTCTGTGAAGGGTTTATATATACTGGACTTGCAGCACGTGATCATATTTTAGATCTTCGAATCCCACTTTACCGGGACTATTGTCTCTCGGTAAAACCATCGGTACGAACCCCCCCCCCCCCCCCAAATTTGATAATTGATCATGAGTACACTAGAGGGCGTTTTTTTCTTCTTTTTTTAGAGCGCAGCTCTTAGGGGCCCGTTCCCGGCTTGAGCGGCGTCGCCGTCAGCGTCGGCGTAACCAAGGTCATCCCAAGGTCACGTGACCCCTCCCAAGGGCATCTCAAGGTCACGTGACCCCTCGAGATCACGTGACCCCTCCCAAGGTCATCTCAAGGTCACGTGACCCTTTGAAGGTCACGTGACCCCCAAGATCACGTGACCCCCAAGTCACGTGACCCCTCTGAGGTCACGTGACACCTCTGAGGTCACGTGACTCCTCCCCAAGGTCACGTGACCCCCGAGGTCACGTGACCCCCAAGGTCACGTGACCCCTCCCAAGGTCATCTTAAGGTCACGTGACCCCAAGGTGACCCCCACGTGACCCCCAGGTCACGTGACCCCTCTGAGGTCACGTGACCCCTCTGAGGTCACGTGACCCCCAAGGTCACGTGACCCCCTGAGGTCACGTGGGAGTCACGTGACCTTGAGGGGACCCCCATGTGACACCCAAGGTCACGTGACACCCAGGTCACGCCTCCCCGAGGTCACGTGACCCCCCTCCCCGAAGTCACGTGACACCCCCCCCCCACCCCCCCGAGGTCACGTGACCCCCCCCCGGATCATATTAAAGAATGAGGGGAGGAGGAGGAGAAGGAGGAGGGGTCTACCCTCCCCTGAGTACCCTTCACTCCTGCTCAAGAGCTGCGCTCCAATTCGGCGTTACAGGGAGTTGTAAACGGCTTTCACTTTTTTTTTCAGTACTAATGTCAAGAGAGAAGTCAGCGAACAGCCTTTTTTTTATTTTTTCATACTCTCAGGACTCGGAGTTATTAGAGAGAGGAGATGTTGTTACGGATGAAATTGTCGACGACTTTCTTGATGTTCGTTTTGTCAGAAATGGCACGAAGGAGGGCAGGAAGGTGGTTTCTGTCATTTGCTGATCTCACTTTATATGGAGGAGTCAAAATAAATGTTTGTATGAAACTCGCAGCCGTTCCAGTCTGAGGCTGCGACACGCAAAATGCACAAAGGAACAATTGATCTTTGAAAATTGATTTAAGATAATATATTTTATAAAAGAAACGCATAAGAGCTTATTTGACGCAAGACGAGGTCAGGTAAGTTTAGTGTCAACTTTGTTATTGAAACACGAGGATGACGAGAAATTTTCGAAATGGTTAAGGGATCGGCGTGGTTTTACAGTAATTCGGGGATGTAATATTATACGCTCAGAACCCCGAATTGAACACGCATATATACCAAAGTTTATCCCCAACCAAAGCTTTATATAGTTGAGAAATCTGAGCAAAGGGTATTCTATACTGAATGACAGAGTGGTAATTGGGTCACATACTGTTTTATTAAGTTTCAATAATTGGGAAGTTATGTCAACTTCCAATTTAAAATGCTTTATCCAATAAAAATTGTCAAGGCGCGTAACTTACAAAATTTGATTAAAACATATAATGTATATTTAAAAAAAAGAATGCTGCATTCGAATTTTTTGTCAGCAAGAATTTCTTACTATGCGAACGCTAAACGAACCAACAGACAAAAAAACAAAACAAAAAAAAACAAAACACGTCCGACACGGAACGCTGTCCGTGTCTGACGTGTCTCTGTGTCCCTTGTCTCCTCTTGCGTTCGCATACCAAGATGTTTAACCAACACGCTCTCCTAATTCTATCTAAGAATTTCTCAGAGTTTACGAGACTCTATTTATTTTGGGAGAATACCGATAAGTAGATAAAAGCTAAATAGTTATATTTTATAAGCCAATCTTGTTTTTCCCATCCTAATTTTTATGAACCAAACTTGGAGGAAATCGCACGGCAGATACCCTAAAGAGTTGTGGAGTTCAGAAGCTTGAAGATAAAACTTAGCCGATGAATCCCCTCGTAATGTAAGATAATTTGAGTGTAAGGTAACCGACCCCTATCTAAAGCCAATTTTACATGGACGCTAGTCTAGCACACTGAATCGAGCCTTCACGGCAATGATTGGGTAAAAAGGTATGACAAAAGAGTATTGGGTACACGTTATTGGTCCTCTCGCTTCAATGAGATTCGATCACATTCATGTCAATGTGACGAAAGACACAAATGACGCAGTGCTAGCTAAGCGTTCTCGCCGACTCTCGTTCAATTGCAGGAATACTCAACCGACGAGGCGTTTCTCCTTTCGTGGCCCTGCTGGACCACTATGGCATCTCCGGTTGGCCTTACCTGGACGTCGGCCACGTGGAGCTGGCCTCCCTTTTGGGCGAACTCACCCGGCGCCTGCGCTTCTCCGCCTTCTTCTCCACCGCCGTGTCGGTGGACCCAAGAGACACCACCACGAGGATCGTTCACGTGGGTCTCGATCATACTTGGGTAGCAATTCAATTACAGTAATTGAATTAGTGTAATTTAATTACTTTTCCTGGTAATTTGTATTTTTAATAATTACTTTTGGCTAAAAGGAATTGTAATTGTAATTTAATTACTTTCTAGCATCAGTAATTGCTAAATTTCATGCACAATTACAATTACTTTTGCAAGATGTTGCGGCGGCGGCGCTTTTCCCACTGGCCACGGAGATGACAGTAAAGCCAAAGCGACAATGAAGAAAGTGTATCCCAACCTGCTCAAAAGGAGGGAAAGGAGGAATGGGAAAGAGAGGCTGGGATAGAACGAAATGAAGGATTTTGCAGACTGTAAAATGATTTAATAAAGAATTTGAGAAATAATTTGATAAATGAGGGCTACATTCGCGTCTGTTTTCCTTCCTGTCGTAGTTGAATCTGACTCTTCGTCTCGTTCGCTTCCTGTTGCTCCTGTTTCTAGGGGTCTTTCTTATTTCTCATTCCCACACGGGGGCATCGGGGGTCGAAATCGAGCTGGTTGGCTCTGATCACATCATCCGGTCGAGGCGGGAAGGTTCGAGGTTCTCCTTACGCGTCTTCGCCGCTAGCATATTCGCTTACATATTTCAGTTAACTTTGGGGACTTTTTTGTTCTTGAAATTATTCTCTTTTCTTTATGAATTTTTCACGTCCTTCTCCTCTATCTCATATGTTGGTACCACTAACAGTAAGTCGTGCTACTCTAACATCGAGGCGAAGAAGCAAAGAAGCAGCAGGTCTCATTAACACTACTCACCCTGCCTTACTTCCAACTGTTGTTGCTACACTGCTCTTCCTTCTCCCAATCCTCGTCTACCTTTTTGTATAAATCTTCATTATTTGGTGTTCGCTCTACCTAACCCTTTCAGCCATTTGTCAGCCTGATTGGACGAGATTCCAAAACTTACGAACCGCGGCTTTAGACTGTAGGGAGCTTGTTTTTACATTTGCTGTTTGTTGAAGGCTTTTTTTTTTTTATAGAGGGCTTGGCTTTCACTTTGTTTTTACACCTCTATCGTGACCCTCCACGCGTTGTCCTCTTGTCCTGGCCTGTGGAACCGTCCCGAGGCGCACAGTGCTGCTTTGCATTGAGAACCAGCAATTCTTATCTACAATGGAAAAGGAAAGGCTGCCAGGGCCTTATTACGAAAAATTCTTTAAACAGATTAGCAGCAATGTAAAAAATATAATCGTGAGGTGCGAACTCTCCGCACCGCCTCTGAAAACAAATTCAACAAACCTAAAGGCGAGCTCCAATTTCCGGAAACATTTGCAGGTAGGCAACTTTTTTGTCACTTTCAATAATACTTACCGTTATAAAAAAATATTAATGGTTCGTCTATATCTTCCAGCTGAAACACACTCAAGTAACTCATGAAATCGAGGCGTCCAAGAGGCCGCAGTTTTGGAATAATTCGAGGATTCTAATTTTCGTAACGCGGTGGGGTCGCAATATAGATTCCAATGCGTTTATATTTTATCGGAATTGCTCGCGGGACTTATTTTTCGCGAATTGTAGGCGATTCGTGAAAATAAAGTCGTTTACAGTGTATCATTAATTTTTCGAGGTTGTTCCTGCCATGCTAAATTCAAATCGGTCTTCTTTATGAGACGCATAACATCGATACAATCACTGCGATCCTAATGATTAGCTACATGACGATCCTAAATTTATTATCTATCTCAGGAGCTTTTTGGGTGTTACCGTGCACTGAATTAACTCAGAATCCCTGGCAATAGAGTTGCTGCTATTGTGAGACTAGTTTTGTGGAAGCGACCACAGTTCGCGTGCTACGGTTACCCACATCCGGCATGTTACAAGTCCACAGACAGAGAGGCAGCGAATCATCGTGGCTGAAATGTTTTCGTAAGTTGTCGTATTCTTTAAATGTTTGACGTCGTTTACAAGTTTCTCTTATTAGCCATTTTTACGTGAGTTTTATGATACCAGTACGGTCGCACATTTGTTTCCTTGTATTATTTTTTAAGTTTATTTTTGTTGGTGTGACTTGGATACCATTTGCATAAGCTCTAAGGAGATTCACCTCGCACCTGTGAATTTTGTCGCCATTTATTTTTTTATTTTTTGAGAATATAAGAACGCAGGAGTTCATTACTCCAAAATATTAAGTTCTATAATTCATTTAACAAATTTCATAAAATAAAGTACAATGCGTGACATTTATACAGCGGCCATATAACTCGTTTACAGTTATATGGCCCAAGGTGGGTAACTCTCACAAATAAGTAATTGTAAAGTAATCGCATTATTTTTATAAAGTAATTTGTAATTGTAATGAACTACTTTCGCATAGTAGTAATTGTAATTGTAGTTAAACTACTTTGGGAGCTAAGTAATTGTAATTGTAATTAAATTACATTTTGAAAGTAATTTACCCATGTATGGTCTCGATCATGCGTTTATATGGTCACTGAAAGGACGCCATGCCTCCACCACGCGCTTGTTGTCTTCCGTCGTGCTTTTACTGAGCGTGCACGCTCGATGCTTACCAGACACCGAAGCGTTATCGAAGGGAAGAAGCTCGCGCTGGAGGCGTGACAACAGAAACGCCTCCTTGCCGCTTTCACCCTGTCACTGATTACGGTGGAATGTACACTAGTGGGCGGGCGTTAAAATGTGTCTGACATTTTCAAGATTCTTTTGTGAGGCTGCGGCATCCTTCGTGCAGAAAAAAATGGCGTCGTTCTTGTCGGTTTGTTGTACTTGGAATAACTCAATTCTACTCACCTCATTTTACAAAAAAAAAAAAAAAAATTCCAGCTGACTTAGATGTTATACCTCTGAACTGCCACCCGTGGACAGTGACGTTTTGCAGGTATCACGAAGTGCGAACGTTGCTGAAGACACGCTGGGTTCTTCATTACAACCGCAACCTTCCCAGTGGTGTCGACTGGTATGGCGATGTAGGCTTCAGAAAGAAATTTGCGGCGTGTAACATTCAAATGAGCTGGAATGCTTGGTATAATGAACGTTGCCTATAATTTCTCATAAAAGACGATGAACGTAAGCAAGAAAGTATAGAGAAAGTGTGCGACTGTGAGCAGTCGACTTTAACTGTTTGGTGCGCTCTATTATAGTATAACTGATATGACTGCGCATTTTCGAGCGTCAAATATTTTTGCCCTATTTCTTGATTTCAGCTGACAGAACCCGAGACACTAATTTCCAAGGCCTACTTGCTGGAGCTCAATGTGCTCGAACAATACCGGGACCTGATCTCTAGCGTGCTGCGGGTTTTCAAAGGCAGCGACGAAAATGTCGTTAACAGCGTCATCCACATGGAGATACAACTCGTCATGGTAGGAAAGTCCGTTGTCTATATATAGTATACACGGCGTTCACGAGAAAATAGAACCGTGTTGTTCGTCCCGGGTAAATAAATTATGCACCGCAGAAAGCTCAAGCACCTTGAGAATGTGATGTTGGCGGTTCAGATATAGAACGCGAAAGTTTGAGGACATAACGTTACCTGGAGCAAAAGATAATTGAGAGAAACGAAATTTCTCTATGAGCCGACGTTAACCTAAGCCTAATATCGTCAAAACAAGAAACGACATTCTGGACGCTAGTGGCATTTATATCAGTGAAATACACTCTGTCGCGCACCATTCACCTAGCTGTGTTTGGAGATTTGTGTTTGTCCTTTGTCCCCCTTGTTTCCCTTTGTCCAGAGAATATTTTCGTTATACTTGTCAGAAAGAAAGAACCTAACCAGTGTTCTTCACTGATATAAATCCCACGAGTGTATGCAAGGTCAGTTCTTGTTTTGACGATATTAGATTTAGGTGGACTTAGATTCATAGTGTAATTTTGTTTTTCTCAATTATCTTCTGATCCAGATAACGTCGTGCTCCCAAACTTTCGTGTTATATCCCAACGGCGTTTCGTTCTCATGAGAATGTGACGCTAGCGGCTGCGATGCATTGTTCATTTACCCGGGCAGAAAAAAAAACATAGTTCTATTTTCTCAGGAAGGCTCTGTACTTTGTTGAGAGCCGATGAGACTAATCAGACAGCATAAAAGTGCTATGTCGTGGTTACCCTAATTTATTCGTGCATTTTCTATCATCGCTAAGCCGTCATATAGAAGGGGAGTCCAGTGACTGGCAATATTTGTATATACGTTCGTATGATTTATTTGTTAGTACCTTCGACTGCGATCAGACAAATAATTAAACGAAGTATTATATCGCTCTTGTGCTCTGTCTGTAATTGAATCGAGCAAGTATCTATGTCATGCAAAATGGCATGCTGGAGGCACGCTCAAATGCCTCCACATCAACGCAAGAGCTGGACAAAATACAAAAGAAGCAACAAAATAAAACAAAAATGCATACATAAAAACAGGAAGCTGTACTTATAAAGTCAGTAAGAAAATCAGTAGGCGGTGAGTTTTGCTTGTACAATATGAGCATAAACATCCTTGTTCTTTGAAAGCATGTTGTGGTCAAGCTCCGGCCAATCCGAATAAATGAATTATCGCCAAGAATCTCTATTGTTTAACTAAAGATCACGCCCGTCTGTCTGGTCAAAAAGTCGGAGCGAATTTTTTATGATTTAGAAGTCCGATCGGTTGTAAATTTTGGTCTTTGAGAATAAATGCACTTTTTGCGAACCGGCGCGTGTGAACACAAACCGCGGGTTGTTCTGTGTTTCGCGAACCCAAAGCGCGAAAAGTATTTAATGACTTTTAAATTGAACCCAGTAAGAATGCATGCCACCTCTAGATCGCGAACATATGCCTATTTTAAACCACGCTGTACCAAGCACGCGCAAAGTTGATTCTCATTACCGAATACATTGTTAATTTTTTGTTATCAGCACGACTGAAGCAGTTAGACAGCCTGATATTGAAGTTTAGTTTTTAGTTGCACGTACGTTTGTGTTTAACGTGCTTATGTTTTTTTTTTTTTTAATTTTTGCTCCGATTTCTATTTGTGATAAATATACGCTACTCAATTTATTTCCAGGCTACGGAATTAAAGTGGAAATTAAAACGAAAGGATGTGGTTAAATTATCTCTGAGCCGCCTACCTTGCTCTAAGAAGGTAGGTTGTTTTTTTCTCTTGATCGTACCGCCACTCGGAGGAACGGGGCTCGAACCCCGCTCTGACCGGTGCCTTTTATTTTATCAAGCAATGATTCTTCCAGAAAGTAACAGCCCATTCTCGAATGTGCATCTTGCGTTCTGGTTCTAAACATTCGTGAACATACCACGTGTACAAGAGCAGCAGTAGCGCGTTACTGCGTAACAGGCGGCCTTCCGTCACCGACGAAAGATTTCTACCTTTTCTTTAAGTTTGTAGGCACATCTTCGCCTGATTAAACGCTTATATCTAGTTTTGCATCCATCCTCTTTTTTTGATTTCTGACAGTATGGTCAAGAAGCACAGACTTCAATGCGACCGGGGACACAAGCCAGAGTTACAATAAGGGTTACAATGCGTTAGATTGATGGGTGGATAAAAGCATAGGGTTGTCTAATCCTAAGTTCTTACCAGGCGGCTGCTTGCACCACCTACGCAGTGTTTTTAGTATTGACATCTAACCTCTACCTAATATACGAATAATTAACGTTAAGCCTTTCAATAGTAACACTGCTAAAATGACGATCCGTGTGACGGAAGCGCTTTTTCTGATGCGCGCGTCTGCTACCTAACGAATCGACAGGAAAATAGAATACCATACTTATTCGTTGTTGGATTGATGTCATCAATCCGAAAACCTCTGCTTGGTTATCTACGTCTTCCAAAAGTCTATTTTGGCCTTTGCGGTCCTTAACCTCCTTTAAAAAACAATTGTCATTGTATTTTCAAAAACAAAAATGTTACCCTTGTTATCTGGGTTAAATAGGAGGACGAAAACAAACTTGTAAAGCAGTCTATTATTGTGGTAGGCAGAATCACCAAGTGCCCTGTTGGGTACTGCAGATTTCAGCGCTTATGAGAATCGACGAAACAGTTCTTCTTGAGGAGGGCGTCCTTGGTTCTTGCACTCCATTTGTTATATGAGTGTGACTAAAAACAAACAGAATACTTTGCGCAGTTTTTTTATTCTTGTTTTGCTTGCATTAGCCAACACTTGTTTCACACAATCAAACGCCAGGAACAGTGTCCCAATATTTCCCCGTATAACATTATCTCAGACCAAATTTAAAACTTGCAACAACTTCGCTGAGGAGAAGGACCGATTGTAAAATTATACCAACCGTATTATTATACTTTTTTTCTTATTTTCCCAGGCGGCGCGAGCTTCCGCTCGTTAGAAAGAGTACAGCCGTTAATATCCATTCGTCCAATCACTTCGTTCTGTGCGCGTAAGCGCTATTGCGAGTTTCAGAAAGACGGCTATTCCAGCCACCCGCAGCTTTGACTAACAATGTTTAGAGTCGCACGCTAAAGCAACTTGAAGAAACAAGTCGTCCAGATACTAGAATTTCAACGAAAACCTTTTGTGAGAGTGGACGTTCAGTACGTTTTCTTTGTGAAGGTGCGTAGATTTTTTTTATTGCTTCAAAAACACAATAGGGTGATTTCAGATAAGATCGACCAAAGGATGGCTAGTCGACATTTTCAAATCAACTGATGTTTTTATATGTTATTGTCTAGTGTCTGGTATGAACGAATCCAAACTTAGTTTTGACTAGAAAAAATACTTGTTGACAGGAAAAATCGTAAGGCATGAGGTGGTGGACAGTTGCATTAACGCGCACTGATGGAGGGGGCCCGTTTGAGAGTGAATAACTAAAGCGATAACATTAGGAGAACTCTAATACGTTTTAGGCGCAAACTATGGGTATAGCTTGCTTGTAATATAAAGTAATCATATTTATTTAAAATTTATTTATTTTTCTAAAAATTGACAAACATGCCTGCTCGAACGACAAATGGCAAACTTTGGAGGTCTGTATCTCATGAAATAATTTAATCATTATGATATAATTTCCAGATATTATTCTACTAATATATAGCTAATATTTAAAAAATAACTAAGGTATCTGTGTGATACAATAGTTAGGATATATTTAGTCAAACATGGAAAAAAAATCAAACAAAGAAAAATTCCGATGCGAAAAAAAAAACACCACCCTCGATTTTTTTTAAATTTAGGTAACCTGTTATACTCTATTTCGGCATTCATTTCCATTAAAAACATGTTGCATCATTTTATTGAGAAAGAAGATACAACTCCCCAAAGTAGGGTCCTTTTTCAAAGCCTACACTTAGCAGTGTTTTATACAAGAACTGACTCTGAGTTCCAGTTTCATGAAACCAACGCACATCTTTTATATATTTTTATTCAGATGAGGCCAATGATAACTAAAGAAATCGTTCACACTTAAATTAAGGGGAAACTACTGTGTACAAAGAGGTATCATATTACGGACTAGTGATCCGAGAAAAGATCATGCAGCCATCGGCCACTAGGAACTTTGTTTACTTTATTCTCCTGCGACACTATATGCTATTCCCTCTTCCGCTCTACCTTCATCTCTCTCTCTCTCTCTCTCTCTCATATATATATATCCCTGATATATATCCAGAACAAAAACATGTTCAAGCATTCCCTTTCTGCGTGGTAGTGTTCTGTGGCTAGCAAAAATCATTTCCTCGCTAAGCTCACGATTATGGCAAAATAGTTGCCGGAAACCGCAGACGACACTCGTCGCTAGTTCTGGCAAAACGGCCGATACAATCTTTTTTTCGCATTTCCCCGCTCGCTGTCAAGGACAAGGGGGTTCGCTTCAACCAGCAAAACATGGCCGCCGTCGCCTGTTTACTGAGCAGTCATGCCTGTCGCCATCTCACTCGCTGGCGTCACGGGCGATAATATCAGGCACAAAGGGGCACACCAACCGGCAGCATTATCCCCAAATACTCGAGCCTCGCGTAAATACATAGAGTGTAAACGCTGTCGCCATGTTATCGTAGTAAGACCGCCCCCCCCCCTCCCCCAACGGGGGACTGCAGTACGCGACGGCGTACTAACACAACGGCGACGATATCGACATCGCGGGCTCCGAATCTTCCCATAGTTCTACTCCACGGGCATTTCTCGAAACGCTTGATATTGTGTACGCCCGCCTGGAAGGATTTCAGGCGCGTAGTTAAGATAAGGCGGTTCTCCGCGGCAAAAGAAAGCAATTTCACAAAAGCTTAAAAGCGGCGGCGACGCGTGTGCGGTGAACGCTTGTAGTTTTGGTGTAGACAGGGTGTGTGTGTTCTCGTTGTTGACACCAGCCGGCGATAAGGCACTGCAGGTGGTAGCTCAGTACAGCAAGGGCTAATCCGAGTGACCATCAACGTAACCCCACCGCCAACCCCTCGCGAACCGGTCGCCGACATGGCTCAGGCTGTGTCATGAACCACGTGGTAGAAGCTCGGGTGCTTTCCTATCAGCGCGTGGAGGGACGACAGTGCGATTCCGGAAAGTCTTTTTCGAAGGCCGCTGACCACAATTTTTTGTCTGGAGACTTTCCCTCCTTCTTCCTTTGACGTGGATCAAGCTTTGCCGACAGCCTCAGTTGTGACCTCTCTTTTCAAATGTACGTTTGCAGTGAGTGAGCTCCTCAGCCTCGGACTTGTCACTTGTGCACCCAGTAGTTCTTTCACTTGGCAATTATATGCCATCAGTTGGGGTTTAATTTCTATTATTTATGTATACATTATGAAGACGTCCTGGAGCTCCGAACGAGTGTTTTGTGCAGATTACTTTTGCAAACACAAAAATACTATACCAAAGCAGCGGAATTTTCGAAGTGTTGGCGAGTTGGACCTAAACTCGTTGAAGCAAATTCTTCCGCCTGACTGTTCCACCAAAGTGAGTGCGACGGACTACCTGTGCTACCATTGCTTCATGCACATCACTAAGGAGATCTCGATGCGAAGCTCAGAGCAGTGCCCTGACATATTTGTGCCAGCTGAAGAAGCAATTGAAGATCTAAATCGCAGCATACTACCTACAGATGTGTCGCCGCTGAGACAACCAAGCGTCGTAAGAAGTCGGGACAGGCCTGCCTATGTCAAGAGAAAGCAGACAGAACTGGAGCAGGTTGCTGTCAAGAATATACGGTCAAGGCTACGTATTGCGTACGACAGGGACGCACCATCGGGGTCGTCCGAACCAACATGCTCCACATGCACTGAGTGGGTGGACAACTTTCGGCAGGCCTTTGAAACCGCCACCTCTCTCCGGGAACGTTGTCAACTGCTTACACTCCTGCCGTCAACACTGACGAAGAATGAGGTTCAAAAGATGATTCCACAGGCCTCAATGTACCTCATCAGTAAATCGCGAAAACTCAAGGAAAAGCATGGCGTGTGGTATGAGCCGGATCCTTACACGAGGTGCAAGGTGAGCCCTGAGAACCTGTCTGCTGCCCTAGAGTACTTCACGAAAGACGAGCTACAATGTTCGCGCCAAAGTCCCAACCAGAAGGACGTCATCTCTGTCATGCTCAACGGAGAGAAAACGTTCGTGCCAAAGCGCTTCATGACACGCTCAATACGAGAGGCCTTCCGTATATACAAAGACAAGCATCCCGATTCCGGCGTTGGGCTAACGAAATTTTATTCGTTGCGCCCTATAGATGGGTCCAATGTATTCCACACCAGGAAGTGTGCGTTTGTGTGCGCTGCGCCAATTATTATCTTTGTATTGCCGCTCTAGAGAACGTTACAGGCTCAACATTCAACACTGGTGAAATGAACTCGGCATTTCTGTGCGACCCAGCAACAGAACTGTGCCTTCAAGGAGACTGTGATCACTGCCCAAAAGGCCAGTTTCTTATACTCCAGGAACTTGATATCCCGGAGGATGAAGAGATTGTGCTTGCAACATGGGAGTCCGGCGACCTTGTGAAAAAAACTTTGGAACCTGAGACTTTCCTAAAAGTCATCCAAGTGACGGTTGGAAGTTGGGTACTTCACAACCATATCCGGCAAACGCAAGGTAAAGCGATCTACGATGAAAAACAGTGCATGCAACGCGGGAGCATTGTCTTTCATTTTGACTTTGCTGAAAACTGGACCATCGTGCTTCCTGACGAAGTGCAAGCATATCACTGGAAAAAAAAAAAAACGTTTCGATATTTACATGTGTAGTGACGACAAGAAAATCTACAAACAGCTTTGCCATCATCAGTGAGGACCTGTGTCACGACGCCGCTCACGCTTGCTTGGCTCTAGAAAAAGTGAAGGAGTGGGTTGAAGACAACGTTGCGGTATACTCGTACGTGACGTACGTAAGTGACGGCGCCGCCAGTCATTTCAAGAATCGCTACCAGCTTCACCAATTTGCAAAGGACGATTGCCCACAAGCCCAGCGGTTATTTTCTGCATCTGGACATGGGAAAAATGCATGTGACGGAGTTGGCGGACTCGTGAAGCACCAGGCCACGCTGAACAACCTGAGAGAACGTTCAGTAAGCGCAATTCAGACGGCCAGGACAATGGTGAGCGTTCTATCAAAGAAACTGAAAGGCGTGCATCTTGTATATCTGGACGAAAATGAGGTTGTTCGGTATCGTGAACAAAAAAAAGAAGAGTGGCTGACGGTGCGCGCCTTCCCTGGCATTCAGTCTTGGCACGCGTGGCGGCTCTGCAAGTCATCAACAGAAGGGACCTGTGACGTATATGTAGCACGGACAGTCGGATCTGCTTGGAAGCAACTTTATTAAATGGGTACAGCGAGGAAAACCTTAGCGTAAAGTGCCGAATTTGATTTCCCAAGGACTGCTCATTTTGAATGCAGGGACATCTTATTTATCACATTTTTCTTCACGGGGTATTTAACCTACTGTTTTTGTTGGTGGTTACTAATAATTTTTATCTGATCACTATAAAAAAAAATCCCAAAATGTTATCCTCGAGCAGGATAAAATATATCGGCTTGCCACGATTCATTCATACACCGAGAGCATCGAAGCTGCTCCAGTTAGGCACTATGGCATCCGTCACCTGAAATTGTTTGTAATCGTAAATACACAGCCAACCTAAATATCTTACTATTATATCTTTGTTTTTGTGTGTGGAAGTAAAGTTATTTATTTTACTCTAGATGTAAAATATACCGGAAGGTACAACTTCACACTGCATCATCTTTTCTCAAATCATTAGTCTCTAATATGATACCACTTTGTACGCTTATGTAAAATGCTGTATATAGTTTCTCCTCCCTTTTACTGTGTGACCGATCGCTCTTTTTATCAATGACCTCATCTGAATATATGTATATAAAAGATTTGTGCAAGTTTCATGAAACTGGAACTCAGAGTCACTTCTTGTATAGGACACTGCTAAGTGTAGGCTTTGAAAAAGGACCCTACTTTGGGGAGTTGTTTCTTCTTTCACAGTGCAATGATGCAACATGTTTTTAATAGAAATGAATGCCGAAATAGAGTATAACAGGGTACCCAAATTTTTAAAAAATCAAAGGTGGTGTTTTTTTTTTATTCGCATTGGAATTTTTCTTTGTTTGATTTTTTCCCCATGTTTGCCTAAATATATTGTGACTATTGTGTCACTCAGATACCTTATTTATTTTTTCAATAATAGCCATATATTAGTAAAATAATGTCTGCAAGTTATGTAATAATGATTAAATTATTTCATGAGATACATATTTCCAAAGTTTGCCATTTGTCGTTCGAGCAGGCATGTTTGGCAATTTTTAGAAAACTAAATAAATTTTTAATAAATATTATTACTTTATATTACAAGCAAGTTGTACCCATAGTTTGTTTGTGAAAAGTTTTAAAATTCTCCTAATTTTATTGTTTTATTATTCACTTTCAAACTTACCCCCTCCATCAGTGCGCGTTATTGCAACTGTCCACCTCTCCCTGCCTTACGATTTTTTTTGTCTCCAAATTTTTTTTCTGGTCCAAACTAAGTGTGGATTCGTTTATACCAGACACTAGACAATGTCATATAAAAACATCAGTTGATTTAAAAATGTCGACCAGCCACCCTTTGGTCGATCTTATCTGAAATCACCCAATATAATATTTCAATAAAAAAACCGCCTGGTCCCGGTATCGAAGAAGGGCCAGGCGGATTTTTTCTGTCTCGCACCAGTCACCTAGCTGTGTTTGAATATTTGTGTTTGTCCCTCGTCCCCATTTGTTCCCCTTCTCCAGGAATTATTATTATCATTGTTGTCCAGCTCCCTTGCACCTTTGCATTAATTGCATCTAATCATAACTTAAAATGCTTGTTGATGTTAGGCTGGTGGCGGTCGATAAAACGAAGTAACGACTTTAAATAACTCGTTACTTTGTTGTGAAGGTACAGAAGGCATTACAAGTAGCGCGATACGTACAAGTTTGCTTTCCTGAAACGGATGACCATGCACATGTTACATCCTCTTCATTTTCCTACAGTGGAACTGGGTAGTCTTCATCCGAACCATACTGGGTGACATCATCGACGTGAGTAACGCAACCGAGGTGATTGTCCGACGTCCAAAATTCTTCACCAGACTGGCGGCAATATTCGACAATACCACGAGGTACGGCATTTACGAGTTGCGGCGTCCGAATGATAAAAAGCTGGACATTTTCTTTATGAACTCGACTTATCGCTCTAAGTTTCATGTATACTTACGGGAATCGTTAACATGGTACGTTGAAGTTTCTATGTAGATGGATTCTGGCAGTACCTTTGTAACACGATGTGAAACTTTTTGAGATCCTGCACTACAACGCGGCCTTCGTACGCGCTCTTTGTAGACCAAATACAGCGTGGACTTGTGGTTCGTCGGCTCTTTCAAGGGAGCGCATAAATTGGTTTCCTAATATATTGAGATGTAATTTTGCCCAGAAGTGAATCCAGACATTGCATCGTTTTAGTAAATATATATATAAAAAATTCCCCTAAGTAAACAATAAAAAATATCAAATTTTTTTTAATATGAAAACAACAACAACAACGAAATAACAACAGCATGGCTCGTGCAAACCAATAATAATAATAAAAAAAAAAGAGCACCATAATCTGCTGTGCTGTTTTTTTTTTGTTTTTTTTTTTTGCCAATTGAAGGGCGTGGCGGGCATCACTTTCGGGAATTGGTGATACCCGCCCTGGCGTCTCCGTCGCCTCAGCTGCACCACGAATTCTAAGACAGCACGTTTGAGCCAAAGGACCTTGCTATGCTAACACACGCACACGCACACACGCACACGCACACGCACACGCACGCACGCACACACACACACACGCGCACACACACACACGCGCACACACACACGCGCGCACACACACACGCATACACGCACGCACACACACACACGCGCGCACACACACACACGCGCACACACACACGCGCGCACACACACACACGCATACACGCACGCGCGCACACACACACACATACGCGCACACACACACACAAACACGCGCACGCACACACACGCGCACGCACACACGCACACGGACTATTGCGACAGTCACGAGCTATACTTCGTTTCACCTTAGGTCCGAGCGCGGCCAATTTACGAGCCGAAGGGCGAATCAAACAACGCAAAAAGCGCAACGTCATGGCGTGCTCTCTGCGCTTCATAGGACTAGCCGGCGGAGGAGCGCGCACAGAGATACGGCGAATATCGGCTGGTCCTATCAACTGCCAAGAGCACGCCATGACGTTGTGCCTCTTTCGCTGTTTGACTGGCCCTTCGATCGGCTCGCAACATCTGCCGCGCTCGGACCTAAGCTGAAACGAAGGATAGAGTGAACACATTTCTTGTCATGTTTATGTTTCTACAAACAAGCATAAAGGATATGTTATACATAGGCGTCGAGCGTAGCAAACGCGGCGTAGCGCAGCGCACACAGATACTGATTGGTCGCAGATGTCGAGTTCCTGCCCGACGGCCAATGAAAGGCCCACGTTCTGCGCTACGCTATCCCCGAAGAAAACGCCGCAGCTGCGCATGCGCGCCGCCAGCTTTGTCTGCATAGTTCAAGGTCTTGTGGCAGATTACGGAGCGCTATCCGGGTGCTTAGTCGGCTGAGGAAACGGTCTACTACAATTCCCCATTGTTTTGAAAACGTAACAAGCACGTTAGTACGTTACTAATAAAAGTAACGCTCTACCGGTAACATCGTTACTTGTAACGCGTTACCGCCGACACTACAGTGCACAATAGAGAGTTTTCGTAGACCGCGTTTCCCCCTCCGCTAAGCCCTCCGCAACGAAGAAGCCGCTACTGCGCCTGCGCGCCGATGGCTTTGACTGTAGAGTTCCGGGTTCATCGTGGGTAGCGCCATTTTGAGAGCGAGAGAGAAAAGGGGAAAGGGTTACCGGCGCTTTCCCCCTTTCTGATTGTGTAGAAAGAGTAAAAGTCCCGGATGAGAGGCTTGGCCGGTGTTGGGTGTCTGCTGTGCCCAACTTCTTTCGCGCTTTCTTTTCTGTTTTAGACTCACAAACTTAGTTAGAGCCACGGACTTCGATGGCAACAGTCCCCCGGTCATCGGGACACCATTGCTCGATCATAGGGTGCACGAATAACGACAGAAAGCGTCGAATACCGCCCAAGGACCTCCTAGCTTGCATGGAATACGGCAAGGCACGTGCGGCTGCAATGTTTTGAAGCTCCACCGCTTTCGGAAGTGATGAACCATTCATAAATTTTTGTTTGCAATAGGCCCATTTCAACGCAGCCGCTTTTAGTAATGAACAAGCGATACACGAAACGGGAACCTCAATTAACTTTTGTAAACACCCGGAGCTGCTACATATCGTTTTGCTGCGCCGCTTTTGTCTTGCGTGTCCGTGTTCTCATATTTCATTGTGGATGAACGACGAAGACGTACTAGATGTGCTTATATCGAACCGCAGGAAGCGTCAAAGCAGCCATGAAATATTTTACTATTTGATGCAATATTTTGAGTACTAACCTCCAATTTCTATCACTGACACGTTCGCTGCCGCTGTTTCCCCCGTTGCCGCACTGGCGGATGCCATGACTCGAACAAAGAAACGTACACAATGTGCTCGAAGACGCAGATCGCAACACACGAGTCGTACCCTGGAGCGACTATCCAGCGCTTCAAAGCGCCCAATCAACGAAAATAAGCCAAAAAACCCACCAGCGGCACTCCAAGGAGCGCAGGGGATCGCTATTCAGGAAAACCGATAGAACTACCTTTTCAACAATTTCTAGCCTCACCCGGCGGCGGAAATAAGCCTTCAACTAAGTGTTGGAAATGATGGAATCGAGTCAGTCACAACTGCAAATTATCCATATTAAGATAAATTCAGTTACAAAATTTTACAAGCTGAAACAGCAATTATCACGAGAAAACTGGCACGTACCTTGCGAGCGTACCCCATGTTCATCGGTGGTACAGCGTTCGGTGCGCGCTCCATTCACAAGCTGTTCCGAGCACAGTCGAGAAGATGGTGTTGAGGAAATGTCTTTTCGGTTTACGAACGCAACCCACTGCCGCCAAGACCGGGGTCATGTGGAAAGCGATGGAGCTTAAAGACATTGCAGCCGCTCTCGCCTTGCCGGATTCATTGCAAGCTACATAGGTCCTTGGGCGGTATTCGACGTTTTCTGTTGTTATTCGTGCACCCTATGACCGAGCAATGGTGTCCCGATGACCGGGGAACTGTTGCCATCGAAGCCCGTTACTCTAATTAAGTTTGCGAGTTCAAAACAGAAAAGAAAGCGCGAACGAAGTTGGGCACAGCAGACACCCAACACCGGCCAAGCCTCTCATCCGGGACTTTTACTCTTTCTACACATTCAGAAAGGGGGAAAGCGCCGGTAGCCCTTTCCCCTTTTCTCTCTTGCCCTCTTTCAGTAAAACGGTCTGTATACCTAGAAAATAGACGTGAAAAACTGGGATTTATTAAAACGAAAAACACTGGAAGGTGACTAATGCTTCAAAAAAAAACGAGAAAGAAAGCGATGCGCTACTTTTAGCTGAAGTAACGCGTGTCTTTTGAAACTGGGTAACGACTAACGCGCGCTTAGTTACGTTTTGAGCGAGTAACGAGTAAAGTACTTAAAGGGGCCCACCAACACTTTTTTGACCGGTTTGAAGTTCGCGCTGAAACGGAGCTCCATGAAAGCAGGAACACCCAGGAAAAAAAATATTGCAGAAATTCGCAATATTTTGTGAGTTATTAGAAAACTAAATATTGCGGAAAACAACTTTAAATAAGCAAAACATTGCGCTTCATGACGTAAAATGAAACAGTGTAGCGATTGGAGCAAAGCGTCGGCCCGGGCGATTGGAGCAAAGCGTCGGCCCCACTGATCTGTATTGTAATAGGCTGGATCGCGGATCGCGGCGTCGGCAGCTGGGGCCGGGTGTCGCCACCGGCGGCCATTCGTTGACACCAGCCAATGCATGGGACTCTATGGGAAGGACGAGAAAAAGTGCCGTTTTCCCCTGCTTCTAAGCTGTTCTCGGCACTGAAACTTTTTGGGTGCTTTTCGATAAGCCCGTCAAATAGCTTGCTTACAAACATTAAAACTGACAGCCCTCTCAATTCTTATAAATAAATATTTTGTGGCCGAGAGTGACTCCGCAGTAGTGCAGCTCAATGATGCGAGTTACCTAGAGTTACCGCGGAGTCGGTGGCGGTTTCGTTGAGTTGGGTTTAGCAGACGACAAGCTCGAAGGCTTTGCAACGTGGAATTCGCTGACTCCGGGAAAGCCGCTGTCGAGATGGAACTTCTTTGTCATTCATCAACCTCTGGCCTTCCCTGAGGACGGTCTAAATGACGGCAGGTTCCTTTGTTTACTTCATTACGAGAGCAAGCTTCCCTGCTCAGCCGTAGGTGCTCCGGTACGTTTGATTTTTTTATTCGGCGACCGGACGTTTGACAAATCCCGATTCGATCTCCAAACACCCGACATAAGGATCGCAGCGCACAATAAAATACCGGCCTCCGAGCACAGCGTACATGCTTCAATATGTTTAGTTCTGTGCGTTTCTCCCATAGACTTGCGTGTATTGCCTGGTGTCAAGCAATGGCCGCCGGTGGCGACACCGACGGGCTCCCGATCCGCGATCCAGCCTACTAAAATAGAGATCAGTTTTCGGCCCGGTCGGCTCGTCGGCCATTAGGCCTAGCTGCAACAACCATCGTAGCTTTGGGATCGGGTTGCCATCATCGATGAATTTACCGGGCTTGTCGGATTTTGAGTGCGGAGCTGGGCGTCGCGCCGTACGAGGACACTCCACGCAAGCGCCGCGACGCGTCTCTGCCTCGGTCCGCTTCGAGTGCCTCGGAAGACTCGTCTCCCGCAACTCCGCCACCGGAGCCACCTTGGCGAGTAGGAGCTACATACTGGTGAGCGGCCCCGTTGGGCAAAAGCTGGGTCCTGTCGCCGCACTTCACTCGAACAGTGAAAAGTCTGTCACAGTACTAAAATAAAAGAAAATAAGGGTTCTCCTGGCTCCTCTTACTGCTTTTAGTTGACCGGGACCGGGGGCGCACAAGTGAAAATACGATGCGCGTTGTCTGCACTTGTCGTCTGCTCGCAATGGTAGGTCGCGGACGCCGCTGGGAGGCGCGCATGAGCGACAAGGCGTTGTTTTCGCCCTTTTTGAACTTTACTTTTCAACTTTATTAGCTCTGTAAAAATGACTTGTTAGAGAAATAATGACGGTTAACGTGTGATATACTTTATTTCGCTTCAAAATTCCTGGGACGGCTCTCGCCAATCACGAAACCCAGAGAATGTGACGTATAGTGAAAGGGAGCGCCGTTATGCGCGCGCATTCGGCACCTCGCGGCGCCACCGTCGGAGGAGGTGTTTCCGAGTTGTCAAATTAAAATATGATGCGCTAATATTTTCAAACTCTTTTGTTGTCCACTGGTTTTCCGGGACTACTAGCGTGTAGAAACCGCAAAAAAAAGTCGACGCTCAAATACTGTTGGAGGGCCCCTTTAAGTTAGGTGACAGGTTAAGAGTTCAGGGGAAGCTCATCACACCTCTTTGCACTTCAGCAGAACGACCGTTGAAGAGGAGGCGATCTCCACTTCATCGTTTGCTCTGCTAGCGTGGATAGAGGTGGAAGGAGTTTCTCCTGAACTCTTAACCTGTCACCGACTATAGCAACTTTTGGAGCGAGTATCAAATAACGGTATTTAGTTACTCTTCTAGTGGCATGGACATTTCTACGCTACTGGCCCGTGCGTTTTTCGTCGGCAGGAAGACGATTGTGGACTACGTGGGCTGGCGGCTCCTGGTGGCCTTCTCGCCGTTCCTGCCGGACGCGTTCCGACCACTGACGTCCCTCACGCTGCGCGGCAGCGTCAACCTGTTCGCGTCACCGCCGCGCTGGTACTCCTGCTACGAAACGGTGGCTCGCGTGATGCAGTACGCGATATCGGCCGCCTACGCTCATCGCTACCTCAAGGGCAAGGCCAGAGCCATCAGGAGGGATGTAAGTCCCTTCGCACAAGCACCACGCTGACCGAAAAACACTGCCGAGCGGAGGAGAGAACTGACAGCGTACCATGCACTTTCAGACATGTATGATACGCCGCGAGCGTATTTGCAAACGGTAGGCGATACGTGGCACGGCAACGCCGCTCGCGCCAGATTGGCTACTCCTCGAAAAGGAAGCTGCATTGCCACACATAGCAACGGGCGGTTGCTGCGCCGGCCAGCAGGGGGCGCGTTTTAACCCCCCCCCCTCCCCCCCCCCCCCTCTCCCCTTCCATTCACGGCGCATCGCGGCGACGACGCGTGCCGCTTCGCGGCGACGTTGCGCGTGTGTATCACTGGGGTGCGTGAATGAGCCGCCGCAGACTATCGCCGTGAAGCGGCGTGACCGGAAGTTGGGAGAGGGGTTTAAGACGCGCCCCAGCGATATACGGACAACGCCCACTGCCATAGCCTCCTCTATACGGAGAAAGCCTGGCACATCGACGACGGAGCCATAGAGCGCGCGGCCGCAGGAAAAAGGAGAGGAGGAGCGCGCCGAACGGTGACCAATATGGTAGCGCAGAGCAGAAAGGGCAGACCTACACAGCGAGCGCTTGGGTCACGAGCGGCCGCTCCCCGAACCACGCTTGTTTTTGTGTTTTCGTCACCGCCGTTTTCGTGCTCCGGGAGAAACGGGCGCGGCGATTCGAAAGGGCGCAGGGAGAAACGGGAAAGGGTGGACGTTGAGTTTCTCCTATCCACGACAGCGACAAGAAAAGAGAGAAAAAAAAAAGATTGTTTTTGCGTTTGGCCGCTCGCTCTTTTGTGGCGCTAGCGGGTAAGGTTCTCTCCGCTCCCGCTTCTCCGCCCCTCCTTTCCCATTTACGGCGGCCGTCTTTTCACGCGACGCGCCAGGCTTTCTCCGTATAGACCTTTTCACCCTCCGCCGCATGGGCGCTGCCATCTTGGAATCACGTGATGCGGCCGCCATTAGGTTGCTTCAACTTGTTGCTCCGCTCTCCCGCCCGCGCCTTGGCGGATGCGTTGAATTCGTGTTTTTCGTCGCGTTTCACCGCGTCTCTTGCCTTACTCCGTAAAGTGCCGTCCGATACTTATACTTACCATGCAATTGCATTATATCATTATGCGTGGAAGCCAGTTCCGCCCTCCCTTGGCCACTGTGTCGAAGTTTCTGCGGCAACTTCTGTAGTTGATTTTGTAACACGTTTTGAATATTTTTTACCGTCGGCGTGCGGGATACGTGTGAAAAGGTTTTATAGAAACAGGAATCAGCGTTAGCACTTGCGCACATTGAATACATATATGACTTGAAGAGAGCCTCGAGGGGGACCATTTGCAATAGGAAGCCCAATGTTATTATATATATATATGAGTGCGCATTGGTGTCAAGGAAGAAAACAAAAACACTCGGCGTAATTAGCCACGCGTTTTTCCTGAAAACATGGTGTTTTGTAGTTCCAACAGATCGAAAACAGTTTCTTTTGATTACACTAGGGAACTAGTGGACAAGGCGCGGGAACAAACATTTAGTTGGAATTATTTTTAATGCTAGAAACAATGGTACCTTAACATTAGACAACTTGTTTGTTCGCAATATCACACCTATATCTGTTTTACGTTCTTAATCGTAAAACAGATATAGGTTTGATATTGCATATATATCTAAGATATATCTAAGCGTGTGCGATATAAGCATTCGCTTTATCGGTTTATTTATGAATTCCACGGAGTTGTATATCCTGCTTGGTTACATGTCTATATAGTCTTTCAGTTGCTTAAGTCATTTTTAATATAACCATGCAGTTTCAATTAATTTATTTCAACACAGATATTGAACTTTACGCGGGGAGTTCAAATATTTGTGTTAGGTTAGGTTAGGTTAGGTTAGGTTAGGTTAGGTTTTGATAGTCCAGCCTAGGGCTGGTCTATCAAAATATTTCTCGAGCGCTTAATTTCTTTAAATAAAACAGGTCGAGACAATATCACTTTTTTATATTATCTACGTGATTATATTAAACTTTTCTAGTCATTATTAAAGACGTTTTCAGTCTTGAAGTTAGAAAAGGTTAATGTACGGAAACCAAACATCGAACAGTAAACCAGCCAGTTCATCTGTTCTTGGTGATTCAGCAGATTGTTAATCATGTTGTCGACCTGATTTTTCACTAAGCACTCATGCAATATAGTCCGTTGCAATATAAGAAGATCAGTTCAATATCTGACTTGAGTGCGAGCTATCTACTTCCGTACCGCTCGGTGCACGGACAGCCAAAGCACGGCGGAAGGCAACGAGCGCAGGCTGGAGGAGGAGCTTGTCCAGCTCTTTATTTTTTTTTTCTTCTTAAAATTAGTGTTCGCAGGTACGGCCGTGTACAATGGTACTTTTCACTGTGCATTAGCGCAGTTATTTCACCGCCGAACCTGGCCGAAATTAATGATGGACGGAATCAGACACATATATTGTTAGTAAAAAAAGGTCGCAATTTAGGCTCGAAACCACTTCGTGGTTTGCCAAGTGGCTCAATACTATTGTTTCATTCGCTGTGTGCTACTAGAAAGAAATTCATATCGCAAAATCAATCGAAAGTGGCATAAAACAGCCTCACAATCGCGTGCACGTTGAAACCGAAACCGACCTTTTTGAAGCAACCCAATGGCGCCGAGTGCGCCAGCGCCCTCTACCCGCCGGTCAGGCAACTACTGAAATGAAAAGGTCTATAGAGGAGGCTATGCCACTGCGAAGGCCAGTGACAGACGCGCAACGCCCACTGCCGGCCGGCGCAGCAACCTGCCTTGCCACGTGTAGCAACGCAGCGTCCTCCTCGAGGGGCAGCCAATCCGGCACGAGTGGCCTTGCCATGCCGCGTATCGACCTTTTACAAATACGCCTCCCGCGATCCACTTCCCCTAAACGAATTATGGGAACGTCCTGTATTGCTACCGCAGCCTCTATTACGCGACACTAAAGAGAGAAAGAGAGAGAGAGGGTAGCGCACTTGCTCCGTCTATCATCCTCTCTTTTTATCTCGCCTCCGTGTTTCCTTTGCTTTTAACAACATCACCTAGAGTCAAGGCCGCAGCGCTTAGAGGCATGACGTCGCCGACGTCAGAACAAGCAGGCGATCCTGAAAGTTTGGCTTCTCCATAGGCTTCTCTTTGGGTGTTTCTACTTTTCTGTTCTTCTTTCTTTCCGGACACACGGCTATCCGAACGCCGTGGTAATAGTTGGGCCGTTATCAAAATGTTGCTAAACACAATCTTAAGTTCACCCGTTTGTATAAGTTTTAATTTTTATGATAAGAACCATATATCTTCATTTCGTTTCTGAGGCTGGGATTGCAAGTTTATAAACATGGTATTCCAAGGTAAAAATAAACGAGTAATGGCGGAACTTCTGTGACCGAGTTAACTTCCGGTTGTCCAGCTTGTTTATGTTTTCTCGGAGAAAAATCAGAAAAGGCATGTCGGAAACTGGGCGCAAGATAGATCGGTGTGTGTTTCTGGACCATACGGCGCCAAGAAAAAACACCGCGGCTCATTTTATTTGGCCTCCGTGGTGAAAGTTACGTGGCCCTACGTGACGGCCCAGTGGAAACTTGTGTACACGTGAGGAAAAACGCCCACAAATCAACCGAGACATGCAATTGTTTCGTGTTTTTTGTGCACGCGAGAGTGTGTGAGAACATCATCAATTGCGCGGCGTCGCCGTCGTGAGCATACCTCGGCAAACCTCACTCATGAGGGCCCTCACTCACCCTCACTCACCCTCATCTTCACAGGTGAGGTGAGGGTGAGTGAGTTTCTGAACCAGCAAAATTCATGAGTGTGAGGGTGAGTGAGGGCCACGAGGGCCGTGAGGGCTGTGAGGGCGGTGAGGGCCGTGAGGGCCGTGAGGGCCGTGAGGGCCGTGAGGGCCGTGAGTGCGGTGAGGGCCGTGAGGGCCGTGAGGGCCGTGAGGGCGGTGAGGAGCGTGAGGGCAGTGAGGGCGGTAGGGTATGAGGGCCATGAATGCGTGAGGGGCGTAAAGGCGGTGAGTGGCGTGAGGGCCATGAGCGCGTGAGTGGTGTGAGGGCGGTGAGTGCGTGAGGGGTGTGAGGGCCATGAGTGCGTGAGGGCAGTGAGTGGCATGAGAGGCGTGAGGGCCATGAGGGCCGTGAGGGCGGTGAGTGCATGAGGTGGTGTGAGGGCCATGAGTGCGTGAGGGCGGTGAGTGCGTGAGGCCCCCTTCAGATCGAGCATCTTTCTCAGCAATTTTGGTGTTAATGACGGGTTGTTCTCTAGCTTTCCCTAGATCGACACGAATTGCTGAGATCGGGCCCGGCTCGAAATAAGCAAGGAACTCGGAGCAATTCGAATACGTTTGAAGCGGCTGCATCCATTCAGGGACGCAAAATTTTCACGTGATTCCTCGTGCCAGTGATGATGACACCGAAAGACTTGGTTCTGGTTTGAAATCGATCGTTTTTTGGAAATAAACTGTTTCAGAAAGGTGCATTAGTTTTCTTAACGAGATTTAAATGCATAAAAACACGTTTATAACGCGTAATTGTGTCGAAATAGCGCAAGAAAAATTCAATTTTATGATGACGATGGCAAATTGCAACAATTGGTTGCTGCGTGTGATCGCGGGCGGCCCGTGTTGCTGGTGTTGCGACGTAAAGTTTCTGGGCGAAATTGCCCCATCTGAAGCTGGCCTGAGTGGCGTGAGGGCCATCAGTGCGTGAGTGGCGTGAGGGGTGTGAGGGCCGCAAGGGCGGTGAGGGGCGTGAGAGCGGTGAGTGGCGTGAGGGCGGTGAGGGCCATGAGGGCGTTGAGGGCCATGAGGGCCGTGAGGGCGGTGAGGGCTATAAGTGCGTGAGGGCCGTGAGGGCGGTGAGGGCGGTGAGGGCCGTGAGGCCGGTGAGGGCCGTGAGGGCGATGAGTGGCGTGAGGGCGGTGAGTTTCGTGAGGGCCATGAGTGAGTGAGGGGCGTGAGGGCCGTGAGGGCCGTGAGGGTCGCGAGGCGGTGAGTGCGTGAGGGCCGTGAGGTTCAGTGAGGGTGAGTGAAGGGCTGAAGGTGAGTGTGACTGTGAGGGTGAGGGTGAGTGAGGGGCTGAAGGTGAGTGTAGCTGTGAGGGTGAGGGTGAGTGAGGGGCTTAGGTGAGTGTGACTGTGAGGGTGAGGGTGAGTGAGGGCGACCTAAATGCCGACCTCTGGTCGTGAGTGTTCGAGCTGGCCGAAGCGAAACTACGCTACGCCTGTCGGACGTAGTGAAGGAGCTAGGTTGCGAAGGATTGTGCCACTCGTGCTTTTCGACGACGAGTAGAGATATCGTGATTGGGAAAGAGCCGTCGCAGTCTGTACGATTGCGCCGCATTCCCCGCAAAAATCGAGGCGTTTTTTTGACGACGAGTGGTGATGTCATGATTGTGACAACGCCTACCGACCGCGGCGAGCACGTGAATGATATTCACAGGGGGTACAGGTGTAGATTCGGACGTCTAAAAGCTTTTTAGAGCGCAGCTCTTAGGCGCCCGTTTCCGGCTCGAGCGGCGTCGACGTCTCAGTCGCCGTCGACGTAACCGCGAGTTCACGTGGCCCCCCGAGGTCACCCCAAGGTCACGTGACTCATTAAGGTCACCCCAAGGTCACGTGACCCCCCGGAGGTCACGTGGTCCCCTCCCCGAGGTCACGTGACCCCCTCTCCCCACAAGTCACGTGACAGCCCCCCCCCCCCCCCCGAGGTCACATGACCCCCTCCCCCGAGGTCACGTGACCCCCCTGGAGCATATTCAATGAGGGGAGGAGGAGGAGGAGGGGTCTACCCTCCCCTCAGTGCCCTTGCCTCCTCCTCCTCAAGAGCTGCGCTCCAATTCGGCGTTACAGGGAGTTGTAAACGGCTTTCACTTTTTAGATTCTAGAACCCAGGCGATAAAGTAAGAAAACCCAGTTTCGCGTCCGGGGGGATGTGTTACGATCGCGCGGCACTCGTATGGGGACATATCTGTTTGAACTGTTCTACTTGGGCAGGCACAAACGTTGGCCGACACACAAGCGCTGTTGTGCTTCACGACGTGGGCGAGTAATAAAATAAAAAAAAATGGTACCAGTGGTTTGTGCTTCACGTCTTGCTTTGATCGTGTCACGAACAAAACGCTGGTTGCATGCTGAAAAGAAAAAAAAAATTCTGGCTCTCGAAATTCAAAATTGACGTGTCTGAAATTGACGTGGAACCGAACCCCAAACTCGGTTCCGTAAGAAAAGGTCCCTTTCATTCTGAAGTCATCCGCTGACACAAGCTCTCAAAATTTACGTTTTTCTTTTCAGTTTGTTCGTGCGGCGTTTTTGTTAAAGTTTGATCAGGGCCACTCATAGAAACTATCTCTTCCTAAGCTCGCATGCGCACGAAAAATAATGTCAGCAAGTAATTCTGCTCTAAGATAAGAAGAAAATCGATAAAACTGTTATGGTATATATGTATTAAATATTTTATGCGGTACATAGCTAGTTGTTTTGTGTTATGAAAACCTGCGTTGCTAAAATAAAAACGTTATATTTGGGCGATTATGAATTATTCTTTCAATCAATCTTCATTTGCATGAGAACTCAAGTGTGTTTCAGTCGATCAAGTATGTTCGCTGTCCGGAAGAGTCGAATGTTTGCATCTTTAATCGACGCGCGCGTGGCAGGAAAGGACGCTAATCACACCAGTCGGAGACGCGTTCCAGGCACCATAGCGTTGCCTTCAAGCAAGGGCTCCTCTGTCGTCTGCCACATCTTGGTCTATACAGGCCGTTCCCAGCATTATTTTCGGCGCCGGGGTGTTGCCTACTTTGAAACAAGGCTTATTGTTGAAAATGTATAACACACAAGAACGGTTTTCAACGCCCTGCGTGCTGTCCATCTTGCTTCCCTCACTCTCGGGCTTCCACAGCGTTGTGCAGTCATCGGCTTGCCTTTAATCAGTAATGCCAATGACAAAAGTTTTGGTCTCGATGGCGAAAGGGATGTACGCCTCGTTTGCCACTGATACTGGATTACTGCTGGGACACTCGTCCTTCTGAGTGACTAGATTGGTTAAAGGCAGGCTAATGATTGATGTTAAGATTCTTTGGTGGAGCTGTGGACAGGTAGGCCTTCTAGGAGCGTGACGTCATCTTACAAAACGTCACACCTAATGTAATCTCAAAAATCCCGTGAGAGGGAGACAGAGCCAGCAAACTTTGTGTTTGTGTTGTCCCTCCACACGCTCCTGGGTTGCGAAGTCTGCATAACTGATGAACTTCCCGCACAGCACTTTGAGCGCTATTCAGATACGATCTACGGTGGAAGCTCGGCGAATGGCGAGGCCGGAGTTTCCGCGGTTCACGCCACACCAAGTGTCCCACCGCGGACTTCATTGGGTGTCCAGCGATAACGCTTTTCCGTCTTCGTTGTTCGCGCTCCTTTGTAGGTTGCGGTCATGGGCTTTCCCAATGCCCTGCGGGAAAGTAGACGCAAGTACAATTTTTAAGAGTGTGTAACGGTTCACGGCGCTTTCTTCAGTCGAAGCAGGTTGTTTTTTCGACTTTATTAGATTCCCAGTTCCTTCTGAAAGTTGTTAGGCAAATTGCTAACTATAGGTGCTCTGACATTGTTTCAGAGTTCAGTCCAGTTCATCGTAGCTTCGCACTTGGGATTTTCTTACGACTGATTTGTGCAGGTGAAGCAGAAGTACACCCTCATCAGCGAGCGGGTGTTCGAAGCTATCCAGCGCTCCAGCTGGATCCACGTGAAGACCAGACGAATTATTCACCAAAAGGTTCGTGTTTTCGTGCATATTGATGACATCTGCATTATTGTTTACAACGAGCGTTTTACTTTTTGGCTAATAATTATGCGGAGCAATTGATCGTTTAACTTGCCTATTAATCGTGCGATTCATTGGTCGCCAACTAATTTCTTCACCAATTAATTGGTCAAAAGTGGACGTTTGTTTTTTATAGGATATCTACGCTTATCATCCTCGTCGTGGCTGTCGAACTCTATGCCAAGAACTTAATTCCTGACGCCACTTCTGCTCCTCCGGAACGCCATGTTTACGAAACACGCAACCGCGAACGATTTTTGTTGTTTTTGCTTCTACAATAAATATGCATCAAAACACAAAACGCCTGAGAACATCTAGAGCAAAAGCTATTAACCAAAACACAAGCAGCATAAAAGAATGTCGCGATGATTCATTTATAAATTATGAACAAACTTTCCTGGAAACCTGTGAATCGCTGGCTCTTCTGCACCGCTTTGACCTCTTCCGCCGCGAGGCAGCTTAGTGCGGGCATGCAGAGTTGACTGGCTGATTGTAGTCTCAAAGCGCATTGTAGCTACAGAAGTGGTTAAGCCAGCTTGAAAGTTGACATGTCAGATTATTTGTATTAGAAAACTTGACGAATTGCAAGGTCAATACGAATACCAACAATAGCGCTTTACAAAGATGTAGTTATACTTACAGTTCGGCACTACTTAACCGTGTCTCAACCTCGACACTATACCTATTAGCCGATTTAATTACTGAAGTGAAGTTAACAGATTAGTGGTTTAAGCTTTTTTCATTGCTATGCCGCCGTAGCCAATAAGGTTACTGAAAACAATCCATATTTCTTGACCTTCGTTTTGTAAGTAAAACAATAAAATGTTCTTTTTTTCTAGTTCAAAGCATTAGAGGTGTTGGATGTGCTTTCTGTATTGCTTATTACAGCCAAGATTGATAATTATTGAAAACCAAAATTAACTTAGATGATACTGGAGTCAAAGAAAAAATATAAATAAATAAAACGCGTACTAAAAAAAAGTAAATCAAACCTGCAGAGTTAGAGATGGTATCTGTCCTGCCTTCTCCTATCCTTTTTACATTTCGTAATTTTTGGTTTTCCACTTACCTTAGAATCGAATTAATTTATATCACGGTTAACATAACCATCTCACCAGCACTCTATCAAATATTTAACTTAATAAATACATTGGAATGTCCCGCTTTTTTTTTGTTTTCAGATGACGTCGCTTACACTCTACCTCCTTTATCCTTCCTTCGTCGAAAACGAGTTCGCCATATCCGCCTTCTATCATATTGTGAGTTGCGTTTATTCTCGGGCGTATCAGGGGGGGCGGTCTCTGAATGCCTACTGCACTGCAGTGACGCGTCTTTAAGTAGTTCAGCCCATGAGAAGGTAAAATGGTGTCGTGCTTCAATGGTCACGTGATCTCGAGATCTAAAGAGTGCTATCTGACAAAGACACTTCAGGAGCATCAGGGTCAGATATCGCTTGCTTTCTCAAGGCTGGATCACATATTTGCTTTTGACCCTGATCGACTGCGTCACGATTGCTTATGATCGCTTATGACGAGAGAATACGCAGGCGCCATCTATCAAATAGCGCTGGAACAATTTCGATCTGCGTAACACTTGGCTGAAGTTTTCCCAGTACCTACGAGGTCACATTTACACTCTATATGAGAAAAGGTTGCTTATGATTTTGCCAGAATTAATTCAAGCAGACGGTGAAGATTGATGCTTCATATAGGTAATATTCAGACTCATCGCCCCACCCCGAGTCATCGCTCACCCCACATTTTAAACAAATATTGAATTAAAAAAAGCGCCTACAAATATTTTGACGCAGACTCTGCGATCCGAACATTCAGTTTATAATTCTTTTCGCCTTAAGCCCACACGCAGAGGACGCTACGAGCTGATGTGACAAATCAGACAGCGTCAAATGAGCACCATCATGGTGTTCGTCATGTTTTTGTGCGCGGTCTATATCACTGAACCAATCAAAAACAGGAGAGACCTAGTGACTTGCTCTTTTGACGCTGCTTGATCGGTCCTATTACCTGATAGCGTCGGCTCTGACTGGGCTTAGGCAGAAACGAAGTAAACCTGAATGACGAGGCCGTGGGCCTTAAGGTTGGAAGACGGCCGTGACAAAGTAAAAAGAAGGAAGGAAAGACACTTCACTTTGTGTACGCATTTCCTCCCCGATTTTCGCGACCCCAAAGTCGGAGTACATCCGTGCGAAAGGAAAGCAATAAAGATAACAAAATGAAAGTTGTTTTGCTTACAGAAAGTTTCTTTGGACAAAAAGAAAGTTGTAAGGATAACACTAGCCGTAACCAATTCAGCGATCGCAAGGTCAGCGAACGCCCCCATATTCCAAAATATAACCGCGGAGTGTAAGGTCCAGATCTTCGCGACCCCGGTTGTTAAGGTTATGTGAAGTTTGAGACAAAGCCAAGGGGTAAATGAAGATTTGCTGGAAAGCCGCACAGACAAAGCGTCCGATTTCGATCATGCAGCAAAGCGGTGTAAACCTGCGTGGATTGCACGCGGCGCACGGACGCATGCATGGATGCACCAAACAAGAAGTTGCGCAAGAGCCTGCTCCTTGTCATTGACGAGGCGCCCGACTTGGCCTGACTGACGCCAAAGTATTTGCCAAGGCGACCGCCGGCTCTCCCGTTTGCCTAGCATCGCTCTTCGTCCCTTTTTCGCTCGATCACTCGTTTCGCCTCGTTGGTTTCCCTATTGTTGACTTTTCTTTTCCTAACGAAGGAAGATGGCGGCTTGAGAAACGTGCTTTTACGAAACAAGCGTTCGCGCTGTATGCCGATCAGCTCTATTAATCGCGCGTAGTAAGCAACGTACTTCGCGATAGTAAAACATTATTTCATGAGCATTTCTTGCTTAAAACAACGAAGCTTTTCGAGTGTTGAGCTTAATGTGCGTCATGTGCAGCCGTGCTAAATAAATGTAGAAAAAAGGCGTTTTTCTAGCTTTTTCTAAACTTTTTGTACTTACCCACCTAGTCATGGCCCACCCCCATTTTTTTGTGAATTTCAGGCGGCAGGGGAATGGGCGAGGACTCGGGATATTACGGTACGCAGATTGGAAGAGTTCCATGGCTACTCAACATAGGCCTTCTCGTCGTAAGCGGTTGCAAGCGGTTGTAACCTAGATGACAAGGCCTGCTCGTGACGTCATCGTTAGTGGATCCCCGACCCGCCCCAAGCGGCAAATACGCCGAAGCTCGACGAGACTCACCGCAAAGTGCCATGCAGGCGCGTTCGCCTTGGCAACGCCGCTTGCTGACTTTTGTGCTTGTGGTGGGACGCTGCAAGGCGCACGGAAGGCGATGCTGACGCAAGCTAGGTGGCGCTATGTGTAGATTTACTTGTGATGACGTGGGTGGAGGGAGGCAAAGACTTCGTCGTCTAGGTGGTATTGTGGCAAGGCAGTCGATCACACTCAAACGAAAACATGTGAACAAGACTTCAATAGCTTACAATGATTCAAACAGACTGCTTGATGTTCCGAATGCATCACGGGGCTAGTGTACGCGCAGGTGACAACTCGAACAGCGAACGGTGTACACCGACTACACTCTTACGTCACACCGCGGCGGTGGCGCTTCGGGTGAACTTTTAGTCAGGGGGTGCGGGCGGAAGTCGCCATGCGGGCCGGTTGCATTCCTGTGTTGTTTTTAGATGAAACCAGACTAAAACCTGCCTTCTCGTCAAAACGCAGCGACTGGGGGCTGTACCAAAAGAACCGGAAAAGGTTCAAATATCAGTTTTCATGTGTTTTCTGCCTGCCCGGTTCGACCGAGAACGTGGATAGGTGCCGTGGAAAGGAAAAACCATACGTCGTCGAACCGCGATTGCTTGTGCGGGAAGCACTTTGGGTTGAATTCACGGACACTTGTGGTCGTTAGATTTATTTGTTTTGTTTCAACATGAACGTGGGAAGATTGTCAAGTTGTCCGGACCACCCGCGGAGCACGTTCACTGCGTCTTTAAGTTGAAACGGCCGCCTGATCGCTCGAACTGTCATCTGCTTATCAAAAGTGTCGTGTGCTCGTTCAAACGACAGCGACCCGTAGACCAAACGCTGACCCGGTAATTGCGATATGATGTAAGTGTAGGCCTAAAAAGTCTCATGGGTTTCAAGGTTGTTTGGGGTAAGAAGGCTCAGTGTAAGCATATGTTGATCATTGTTACCAGTGACAATCATCGACTTCGTATGCGTGGTTCGCTCTGGCCGATTCCGTTTGCGATTTTCAGTATCGACGTCGAGCATCGCATCTGCCGTCCACGCTTTTGCAGCCCCAGCGATGTCACGACTGAGACTAATGAGCAGAATCAGGCTTTAGCGTCCATCCTGCGGCGTTCACGCGGAATGAATTGCCGCACTCACATTATTTACGCGAAGTGTTTCGGTGTAACGAGCCTCATTAATTCCGCTGAGGCTGTTAAACTAGTAAGACATTGCTATGATTATAATGCAATTAAATGCAAAGGTGCAAGCGAGCTGGACATGAATGACGAAAAACCCGGACCGGGCGGATTTTTTCGGTCGCGCCCCAGTCACCTAGCTGTGTATGGAAATTTGTGTTTGTTCTTTGTCCTTCTTGTTCCCCTTATCCAGGGATTATTTTCGACATTGCTGTACTTCGTTCACCTTTAAGCTGAGACTAGAAGCTCCGCCTTCAGTGCGAACGTTCTGCCCTTGCTAAGTGTGAACGCTCAGGCACGCGCAACCAGAGCACCGCGAAAGTCAGCGAGCTCGCGTTAAAGGCGGAGCTTCTGGTCTCAGCTTAAAGACCGACGACCAGCTCGCGCTTTCCACTTTTCTCTCGCTCCCTCCTCTCCCCCCTTTTACCCTGTCCATCGTTGCCTGTTTCCCCTTCCCCGATGGTGAGGAGAATCTTCTGCCTTGCAGAATCTCGAGTCTGGTCGTCGGCCTTTGAAGGGGAACGGAGTGTATATAGGAAGACGTAGAGTTCACAATTCGAACGCGAAAAGTAGCACGGAAAATCACACCGACGCCGACAACACCACATTCCAATGGTTTGTTGACGCGGGACTACAGTGTAGTGGGATGGCGCGCTTCTTGCCCACACCACATCGCGCGTGCGCGGCGCAAATGGCGCGCTGCTAGAGGGCGCTCTGGTTTGTTTGTAAACATGAGTTTGTGTATAACTCTTGGGGACAAACCTTCCGCAGGTACCGGATGTGACGATGGACCACGTTCTGGAGAGTTACCACAAAACCCTGTCGGCGCTCAGCGAACACTATTGGCAGTGGCTCGTCGAGGACTGGATCGGCCCAGAGTATGCGTTGAGAAGGCATCTTCGTAACTCTCGTTTGGGTACTTCCGTAATCAGCTGTACATCGCTGAGTGGTTTTGGGAACTTTTTCAAGGATGCAGAATGACCAAAAATTGTAATGTTTGGCTTATATGTTGCAGACCACTTTAAGAATATAGACCGTTACTAATTTGAAGTAATACAGCCTCCCCTCCCCTCCATGCCCTCTTTCTAGACAGAACAAAAAAGAGGAACCTGACCGTTTTAATTTTGCGCGTTTTGCTTAGGTATAGCAGTACATGAATTCTTCCGGGCATACCTGAAATATGATATTATTAGAATATTAGCCGCGCTTTTTACACGAGTGCCCGCGCGTCTGCCTTTCCGCAAAGAGGCGGAGAGCGAATGGCGAAAAAAAAAATATCTGACACAAAAGTGCTGCCTTCGTGTTGACGCTGAGCGGACATGCTACTAAAAATGTACCGTTACCCCTTAACGAGTGTCGAAGGAAGTGCGCCACTTTAGTCTAAAAGTGGGTGTTATATGAGTTAATTTTCGAGTTACAGTAGACGGTGGTCGACGTGCAGTCCAGAAAATACGAAAGCGCTGTACGAAAAGGCGATAAAATTGAGGTAAAAGTCAGTCTAACAAACCTCGTTGATTTGTCTAATCCCCAGACTTGCGAGTGGTAACAGATTTTATAGAAACAGTCGGATAAAACAGACGCATTCAGTCAGCATCAAGTGCGATTATATACTTTCCTTATTGTTCGTCCTTCTCGGAGCTTCTGGATCGCGGCGCAAGTACAACTCAAGTTGAGAGAGCGAAGACACGGCTTGTGTTGCACGCATTTGCCGCTTCTTGATTGGCTCCATCGGACTGTGACGTCAGCTGCGGTCGGTCTTAAAGGGGAACGGAAAATAGTAGAGAGTTTTAGGGAACCGTTTTAGCACTTCCGATATGGTACAATGGGCCCTCCGGTGCGAACTGCGCAGATGCGAGTCTTCTGTGGTAGCGCACGCGCAGTTCGTACCGGAGGGCCCACCGTACCGTATCGATGTTCCAAAACGATTCCCTAAAACTCTATATTAGAGAGTTTTTGGGAATCCGTTTCTGCAGATCCGATATGGTACGATGGGCCCTCCGGTACGAACTGCGCAGATGCGTGTCTTCTGTGGTAGCGCACGCGCAGTTCGTACCGGAGGGCCCACCGTACCGTATCGATGTGCCAAAACGATTCCCTAAAACTCCCTATTAGAGAGTTTTTGGGAATCCGTTTCTGCAGATCCGATATGGTACGATGGGCCCTCCGGTACGAACTGCGCAGATGCGAGTCTTCTGTGGTAGCGCACGCGCAGTTCGTACCGGAGGGCCCACCATACCGCATTGATGTGCCAAAACGATTCCCTAAAACTCCCTATTAGAGAGTTTTTGGGAATCCGTTTCTGCAGATCCGATATGGTACGATGGGCCCTCCGGTACGAACTGCGCAGATACGAGTCTTCTGTGGTAGCGCACGCGCAGTTCGTACCGGAGGGCCCACCGTACCGTATCGATGTGCCAAAACGATTCCCTAAAACTCTATATTAGAGAGTTTTTGGGAATCCGTTTCTGCAGATCCGATATGGTACGATGGGCCCTCCGGTACGAACTGCGCAGATGCGTGTCTTCTGTGGTAGCGCACGCGCAGTTCGTACCGGAGGGCCCACCGTACCGTATCGATGTGCCAAAACGATTCCCTAAAACTCCCTATTAGAGAGTTTTTGGGAATCCGTTTCTGCAGATCCGATATGGTACGATGGGCCCTCCGGTACGAACTGCGCAGATGCGAGTCTTCTGTGGTAGCGCACGCGCAGTTCGTACCGGAGGGCCCACCATACCGCATTGATGTGCCAAAACGATTCCCTAAAACTCCCTATTAGAGAGTTTTTGGGAATCCGTTTCTGCAGATCCGATATGGTACGATGGGCCCTCCGGTACGAACTGCGCAGATGCGAGTCTTCTGTGGTAGCGCACGCGCAGTTCGTACCGGAGGGCCCACCATACCGCATTGATGTGCCAAAACGATTACCTAAAACTCCCTATTAGAGAGTTTTTGGGAATCCGTTTCTGCAGATCCGATATGGTACGATGGGCCCTCCGGTACGAACTGCGCAGATGCGAGTCTTCTGTGGTAGCGCGCGCGCAGTTCGTACCGGAGGGCCCACCGTACCGTATCGATGTTAAAACGATTCCCTAAAACTCCCTATTAGAGAGTTTTTGGGAATCCGTTTCTGCAGATCCGATATGGTACGATGGGCCCTCCGGTACGAACTGCGCAGATGCGAGTCTTCTGTGGTAGCGCACGCGCAGTTCGTACCGGAGGGCCCACCGTACCGTATCGATGTGCCAAAACGATTCCCTAAAACTCCCAATTAGAGAATTTTTGGGAATCCGTTTCTGCAGATCCGATATGGTACGATGGGCCCTCCGGTACGAACTGCGCAGATGCGAGTCTTCTGTGGTAGCGCACGCGCAGTTCGTACCGGAGGGCCCACCATACCGCATTGATGTGCCAAAACGATTACCTAAAACTCCCTATTAGAGAGTTTTTGGGAATCCGTTTCTGCAGATCCGATATGGTACGATGGGCCCTCCGGTACGAACTGCGCAGATGCGAGTCTTCTGTGGTAGCGCGCGCGCAGTTCGTACCGGAGGGCCCACCGTACCGTATCGATGTTAAAACGATTCCCTAAAACTCCCTATTAGAGAGTTTTTGGGAATCCGTTTCTGCAGATCCGATATGGTACGATGGGCCCTCCGGTACGAACTGCGCAGATGCGAGTCTTCTGTGGTAGCGCACGCGCAGTTCGTACCGGAGGGCCCACCATACCGCATTGATGTGCCAAAACGATTCCCTAAAACTCCCTATTAGAGAGTTTTTGGGAATTCGTTTCTGCAGATCCGATATGGTACGATGGGCCCTCCGGTACGAACTGCGCAGATGCGAGTCTTCTGTGGTAGCGCACGCGCAGTTCGTACCGGAGGGCCCACCGTACCGTATCGATGTGCCAAAACGATTCCCTAAAACTCCCAATTAGAGAATTTTTGGGAATCCGTTTCTGCAGATCCGATATGGTACGATGGGCCCTCCGGTACGAACTGCGCAGATGCGAGTCTTCTGTGGTACCGCGCGCGCAGTTCGTACCGGAGGGCCCACCGTACCGTATCGATGTGCCAAAACGATTCCCTAAAACTCCCTATTAGAGAGTTTTTGGGAATCCGTTTCTGCAGATCCGATATGGTACGATGGGCCCTCCGGTACGAACTGCGCAGATACGAGTCTTCTGTGGTAGCGCACGCGCAGTTCGTACCGGAGGGCCCACCGTACCGTATCGATGTGCCAAAACGATTCCCTAAAACTCTATATTAGAGAGTTTTTGGGAATCCGTTTCTGCAGATCCGATATGGTACGATGGGCCCTCCGGTACGAACTGCGCAGATACGAGTCTTCTGTGGTAGCGCACGCGCAGTTCGTACCGGAGGGCCCACCGTACCGTATCGATGTGCCAAAACGATTCCCTAAAACTCTATATTAGAGAGTTTTTGGGAATCCGTTTCTGCAGATCCGATATGGTACGATGGGCCCTCCGGTACGAACTGCGCAGATGCGAGTCTTCTGTGGTAGCGCACGCGCAGTTCGTACCGGAGGGCCCACCGTACCGTATCGATGTGCCAAAACGATTCCCTAAAACTCCCTATTAGAGAGTTTCTGGGAATCCGTTTCTGCAGATCCGATATGGTACGATGGGCCCTCCGGTACGAACTGCGCAGATGCGAGTCTTCTGTGGTAGCGCACGCGCAGTTCGTACCGGAGGGCCCACCATACCGCATTGATGTGCCAAAACGATTCCCTAAAACTCCCTATTAGAGAGTTTTTGGGAATCCGTTTCTGCAGATCCGATATGGTACGATGGGCCCTCCGGTACGAACTGCGCAGATGCGAGTCTTCTGTGGTAGCGCACGCGCAGTTCGTACCGGAGGGCCCACCGTACCGTATCGATGTGCCAAAACGATTCCCTAAAACTCCCAATTAGAGAATTTTGGGGGATCCGTTTCTGCAGATCCGATATGGTACGATGGGCCCTCCGGTACGAACTGCGCAGATGCGAGTCTTCTGTGGTAGCGCGCGCGCAGTTCGTACCGGAGGGCCCACCGTACCGTATCGATGTGCCAAGACGATTCCCTAAAACTCCCTATTAGAGAGTTTCTGGGAATCCGTTTCTGCAGATCCGATATGGTACGATGGGCCCTCCGGTACGAACTGCGCAGATGCGAGTCTTCTGTGGTAGCGCGCGCGCAGTTCGTACCGGAGGGCCCACCGTACCGTATCGATGTTAAAAACGATTCCCTAAAACTCCCAATTAGAGAATTTTGGGGGATCCGTTTCTGCAGATCCGATATGGTACGATGGGCCCTCCGGTACGAACTGCGCAGATGCGAGTCTTCTGTGGTAGCGCGCGCGCAGTTCGTACCGGAGGGCCCACCGTACCGTATCGATGTGCCAAGACGATTCCCTAAAACTCCCTATTAGAGAGTTTCTGGGAATCCGTTTCTGCAGATCCGATATGGTACGATAGGCCCTCCGGTACGAACTGCGCAGATGCGTGTCTTCTGTGGTAGCGCACGCGCAGTTCGTACCGGAGGGCACACCGTACCGTATCGATGTTAAAAACGATTCCCTAAAACTCCCAATTAGAGAATTTTGGGGGATCCGTTTCTGCAGATCCGATATGGTACGATGGGCCCTCCGGTACGAACTGCGCAGATGCGAGTCTTCTGTGGTAGCGCGCGCGCAGTTCGTACCGGAGGGCCCACCGTACCGTATCGATGTTAAAAACGATTCCCTAAAACTCCCAATTAGAGAATTTTGGGGGATCCGTTTCTGCAGATCCGATATGGTACGATGGGCCCTCCGGTACGAACTGCGCAGATGCGAGTCTTCTGTGGTAGCGCACGCGCAGTTCGTACCGGAGGGCACACCGTACCGTATCGATGTTAAAAACGATTCCCTAAAACTCCCAATTAGAGAATTTTGGGGGATCCGTTTCTGCAGATCCGATATGGTACGATGGGCCCTCCGGTACGAACTGCGCAGATGCGTGTCTTCTGTGGTAGCGCACGCGCAGTTCGTACCGGAGGGCACACCGTACCGTATCGATGTTAAAAACGATTCCCTAAAACTCCCAATTAGAGAATTTTGGGGGATCCGTTTCTGCAGATCCGATATGGTACGATGGGCCCTCCGGTACGAACTGCGCAGATGCGAGTCTTCTGTGGTAGCGCGCGCGCAGTTCGTACCGGAGGGCCCACCGTACCGTATCGATGTTAAAAACGATTCCCTAAAACTCCCAATTAGAGAATTTTGGGGGATCCGTTTCTGCAGATCCGATATGGTACGATGGGCCCTCCGGTACGAACTGCGCAGATGCGAGTCTTCTGTGGTAGCGCACGCGCAGTTCGTACCGGAGGGCCCACCGTACCGTATCGATGTGCCAAGACGATTCCCTAAAACTCCCTATTAGAGAGTTTCTGGGAATCCGTTTCTGCAGATCCGATATGGTACGATGGGCCCTCCGGTACGAACTGCGCAGATGCGTGTCTTCTGTGGTAGCGCACGCGCAGTTCGTACCGGAGGGCACACCGTACCGTATCGATGTTAAAAACGATTCCCTAAAACTCCCAATTAGAGAATTTTGGGGGATCCGTTTCTGCAGATCCGATATGGTACGATGGGCCCTCCGGTACGAACTGCGCAGATGCGTGTCTTCTGTGGTAGCGCACGCGCAGTTCGTACCGGAGGGCACACCGTACCGTATCGATGTTAAAAACGATTCCCTAAAACTCCCTATTAGAGAGTTTTTGGGAATCCATTTCTGCAGATCCGATATGGTACGATGGGCCCTCCTGTACGAACTGCGCGTGCGCTACCACAGAAGACACGCATCTGCGCAGTCCGCACCGGAGGACCTGTCGTACCGTACCGGATGTGCAAAGCGGTTCCCTAAAATCCCCTATTTTGCTCGCAAGAACGGATGGTGTTTACTTTGTTACCGAGGAAAGCGACGAGTTGCTGCTTATAACCGCTGTTTGTATATAGGCGTTTTCTGCTTCCTGTCCTTCTCAGCCACGTGGGTTCCGTATCCGCTATGCGAAAAAAAAAATAAATAAAACCTTTCCACTTGGAATTTGTGAAAAAATATAGGTGAGGCAAAACAAGAATGTGTGACAATCACGCCTTTTTCGTAAACACCTTCCAGCGGCGTGGAGAGATCAAAACGATGTTTTACCGCATACCAGAAGGGACGACATTCAAGATGGCTGCGCCCTTGTGGAAAAGGTGTATAGCGTTGCGTGTACGAGTGTGATGGCGAGCACAATGTTTTACGTGCCGCAGAGTTCAGCCTGAATTTCCGGGCACATATGTCAATGTTCGGGGCGGGCATTGGCATTCGTGGCCTTTTTTCTTTGACCCCAGTGATTCACCAGCACTGCGTGCTCCATGAGAGAAAGATAAGTGCTGACACTGTTCGGTATTTTAATGAAAATAATTACAAATGTTTTAACAGTACAGTTTACACCTATTGTTTGAATGGCGGTTAACAAAATTGTGCCGTTTTTCTTTTCTCGCAGGTGGGAAGTGCCGTTTCTGAAGCCGAGCGTCTATTTTAACCACGACTTTAAGACGTTGGGTGAAGTGACATCTTTACTTTCTTTTTGTAGAGTTTTCGCTCGCTTATGACCCGCGGTGATGTTTGATGCTTCCCTTAACGAGCAATATTGCGATCTGAAGGTTCGAATAAATACATGATTCGTTCAGCTTATTACTGCCACAGTCTTAAACGGGATGTGACATTGAAATAAAAAAAAAATGTTAGATTATTCTGGACGCGAGTCTTTTTATCCGAATAATATGTACTACAAGGTTTAAAGTTTTACTGTGTGCATAGTTAGATTTTTTTGTTTACTTCCCATTTCTGTCATTCCCAATCTGTAACAAGACAAGAAGGTTGTAATTGACGTAACCAATCAGGGGCTAATTACGTCTGATACGCTACGCTTTCTCAGTCGTTCTTTCTTTGAGACGAAAGCTTGCCTGCCTTCGTACATCCCTTGCATTAATGGTGACGTGAAGGTCGACATGTACGTAACGCCTTACTAGTAACGAGTTGCTTTTTTCGGTAGCGAGTAACGTATTTAGTTACTTTTTTTAGAAAAAAAAAAGAACGAGTGACGTACTTAGTTACTTTCAAGACCAAGTAACGAGCAACGGTATTTCGTTACTTTTGAGGAGTATACCGAGTACAGAAACGTTTAAACAGCCTCGCTTTAATTCGAACCCGAATATGCGTCTATCGCGAGAAAGGCGAATGGGCAGCCCGAAAAACAACTAATCGCTGAACAAGTCAGTCGAACTCTGCAGCTGGGAATATACTTCACTCAAAGAACCCAAAAAGGATCGTTGTTGAACAGTTGAATATTCTAGAATCGTGTACAGTCCGAATGTAAACCCGGAGCTCGCCAACGTGGCAAGGCACATACATCACCCATTGTCAACTTCGAACTTTATAAGCAGAGCGAACAAGAGAGAGAGGGGAATCCCGGATTCACCAGCTCTTCCTTAAGCACAACACTGCCGTTCCTTTGAGCGCGTTAGTAGAACGACTCTTCAGCGTCTCAAGAAAGTGGGGATACATAACTGATGAAAGCTTCAAGGTGAAGCTACTGCTTAGGTATGGCACTATTGAAAAAAAAAATATATATAACAAATCCAGTTGTGTATTTGGTCGTCAGAGTAATGAGAAAGGTAAATCGATACATTTGAGGTGAAGTGACTTGTTTCTTTTGAGAATCGGTGACGAGTAAAGTATTTAGTCAAGTTTTGAGCGAGTAACAAGTAGCGGTACTTAGTTCATTTTTTTTTGGTAATGTGTACATGTCTGCGTGAAGGTGACGTCACGTATATTACCGTACATGGCAGACTCTCTAGACGGTTGATGACAAGCGGTCCACAAATATATCGAGTTTATCCTGGAAACTAACGGTTAAAAAATACATATAAGTGTCGGAAGAAAGGAAAATATGCTTATTTTAGTGGGGTTCAGACACTGGAGTACGGCGAGAAGAGACTGCATCAAAATGTTTTCGCCAAGGAGTCGCGTGTTTCTTAAGAAAAATATGTAGTATCGAACCAAAATATCACACAAAGCAAGACATTAACGACACCATAACGCTCAAATATTGGGGAGTGTTTTTTTTTTTTTTTTGCTGCGGGTATAAAATTGCAGTGGTCATAGAATTTGGACTTTACGAGTTACATGAATATGAACCTCAGATTGACTGCTATGATGAAAAATATTTCTTGCGCATTGTCGTCATCGAACGTTATCATAGTAAGGAGAGTGACAGAAATTATCAGCACCCGATTCTTTTCAACAAATGTTTTGCGCACAAAACAATAATCCAGATTTAGAACTTTGAATATATTTTCGCTGTGTTTGAGCCTACGCAGAGAGTACGTTTGAGTGAAAATCTCGGCAATCATAAATATACCTTATCTTTGTTTAACTTCACCTCCAAGGAGGTAATTTACGACGTCCTGGCGCCTGTTTCTTCTGTCAATTGACCCTTGACCAAATGCTTGCATACTTTTTGATGCAGCAATCCCTTTCGGAATACTCCAAAGTCCACTGTACTACACAAGCATCCAACCGTAAGGACCCCTTCTATTGAATTTGTATACGGATTCGTTACACACGTCTCACAAAAGACGGTTGCTTTCTTGATCTGAGCTGCCAGATTCTATTGCATTATGTGTGGTAACTTTTCTTAGTAAGCTAACCTTCTTAAATTTCGTCTTTTTTATTCAAGTTCTCTTATTGAAAAACAAAATACTGCAGTATAATTACTTAATTTGTTAAACTTCATAAAGGTTTATGTTTAACATAACGGCTGAATAAATTCTAAAAACTAAAGAAAAACAAAATCGTTGGAATTTGTTCTCAGGTTGTGTGATATAAATGTATAAAAAAAGGAGATTGCTTATATCTCACTCTAAGAAATGTCTGCGCGTCTACTTACCCGCAAAACACTCGAAGAGCCAATCTCTGCGATCTACGAAATCAGCTGAGCAAATGATGAGGCAGAACATCCGTTTAGTCCTAAAAATTAAGTCTGCGCAGCTGCATTACTCAATGCAAAGCGCCATGCTTGCATTGCGTAATGCCACAGCGCAGACTGAATTTTGAGGTCTAAACAGATGTTGCGCCTCATCATCGCTGTCAACTAAAGTTTTTACCTCCTTTACGAATCGGTCTTTCTTCGAGTATCGGACGTTAATTTCTCTGCGATGTTCACCTCGTTCTTGTTTTAGGCCCGTGGACATGGCACGTTTCGGCTTCCAAGTGGCACGAGAAATAATACGGGCCTTTTTCGTCAGCGGTGATTTCTGCGGTTTCTATATATCTCGAGAGTGACAACTTGCGGTATACTCCACTTTTACGACATGTTTAATGTAATGCTCACCTCTACATCGCAGGTCCGTTCTATAAACATCCAAGATCCATCAAGAAGCCGTGGGATAGATTAACGCATACCGAGTTCGGCAACAAACAAAACTGCTTTCTTCACCAGTACGGGCACATCTACGGGACTCAGGTGCGCACGGCGAGGGCGGGAAAATTCCGCGTGGGGCCAAATATATCAACCAAGCGCACTCGAAAACAAAGTCGCAAAATTCAGGTATCGCATATGCGTTGACAGTGTAATTTCTCACGAAGATGCGACAACGTGTTATATTTATGTTAAAAAGAAAACAGCAACAACTTGCAGTGAAGAGTAAAAATAAAATAATTAAGACCTTAACGACTGATATGAAATTAGGCATTTTTAATGTTTTTGCAAAACAAAAGTTGCTGTGGGTCATTGAGACAATTAACGAGTCAGAAGAGTGAACGGGAGTAACATAAAAATAAATTTACTTTAGTCTTTATTTTTTCTGCCAAATGTTTACAACGTTTTTTTTTGTTTTTACTTCGAAATGAAAAAGGTTGACGTTCATACTGACTCATAGCGAATTTTTATTGTGCATTTTTTAGCTTTTAATAATGGAGGCATTGCTTCAAAAGAGTAAAAAGAAAGTGTCAGACCTAGCCGAATATTTGTGATAAATTGCAGTATGGCAGCAGTGCATATTTATTTAACTTCCGATTTATGTAAAGTGAGTTCGATCAAAACCGCTTATAAACAATGCTTCGGGAGGTGAAAAGACATGTGTAGCACGATTGGGAGAAACCAAGCACAATACAAACTGCCACTGGGAGTCGCGTCTCATTTCGATCTTTCTTGTAAGCGCATTTTCTGCACAAAATACCACTTTAAAAATACGGCTTGCTGATTACTATTTTTTATAATGCCATTCAATGCAAAGTTGCAAGCTAGCTGGACAAGAATGACGAAACTAATCCCCGAAGAAGGGAAACAAGGGGAACAGAGGGCAAACACAAATCTCCAAACACAGCTAGGTGACTGGTGCGCGACCGAAAAAAATCCGCCTGGTACGGGTATCGAACCCGGGACCTTGGACAGGTCCCGGGTTCAATACCCAGATCCCGGGGTTATTTTCGTCGTGCTCATTACATCAGTTGTATTGCCTTTTTATTTTTTGTCTGCCGCTGTAGTTAGAGAATTATTCAATTATTGTGGTTGGTTAGGTGATGCATTAAAGGAATGTATGCAGCCCGGCGTATATGCACGTAACTGTGGGCCTTGGAAATTAGCTTGCTCTTCGAGAGTTATGAGCGAAACTTTTTTTTTCTTTTAATTAAGATTAATTCCTATGCGAGCAACGTGGAGAATATGCTGGATAACGCAGCTCTTCCTGTGGCCTACCGGGTGAGTATAGTTTTAATGATAAAGGGTATCTTCTACATAGAAGGAAATGTGAAAGTACGGATTTAGCTCATGCCAGGCGTCCACGTCATTATTTAGGTTGAACGCTAAACTGAGCAAAAATAAAGGGGACCCCCAGGAACAACGTTATTTGGGGCTGTGCCGTTGTTTGTTTTTGTCATTCTTAAGTAAAACACTAATATCGTGTAAAAACTAGTCTGCGTCTTTACGCTTTCGTTTCTCACGTGGTCAAACCTATGCACATTGGACGATTTTTAAGATTTAATACAATATATTTGGCAGAATGAAAATTATAGTTTCCGAATGTTCTTCGTTTTGTTTTGTCTTATAAACACTGCAGATCAAGGATTTTTGTTTTTGTTTTTTTACAACGAAATTTGCGTATTTTCTTGTTCTTCCTATCGTCTGGGGATCGTTTTTAATGTCTCCGGTTGTCGTGTTCTTAAGAAAAAGAACTTGAGGCAGTGTTTGGAATTTTACGTGCAAAAGCTGTAAACAATGAACGTTTTGTTTCCTGCGAAATGGTAATCTTAGTTTGGGCAGAGATTGTTTTTTGGGCTCAAAAGTTTCTTTCTGGTGTACACTTGGTTTATGGCAATGTTCTAGCACCAACTCGGCTGTGTCTTTGTTCAGTTATATTTTTATTAGTTTAGTTAAATAACGCGTGGTGAACATTGCCTCTAATGTATAAAATGTTTGGACAAGGCAAAAACGAGCCATGGGTTTCTCATTTCAAAAATGAACTATATAGTATATAGCCATTTCTGAAAGCTGAGACTTTATTTGAATTGAGCTTTAGCGGTAGGATAACGTTTAGAAACGTATAAGTTCTGCTGAAAAAAAAATAGAAGTAGTAATTACGTCGCTTTCTTAAAAGAGGATACAGTTCTAACTCATTATTTCTATGAGAAAAAGTTTTTGGGTAGAAGAAGCAGGCCGAGTACGCCTGTCTTCGGGTGTGTCCTTCAAATGGTGTCGCTGTCGATCACAAGCAGTGACGACCGGAGAAGCGAAAACGGCCTCACTATTTGATGATGTTTGCCGCCGTCAGTGAGGCCATCTGAGAGACGCAGCGGAAACAATTGTTACTGCTCGACAGTATATATTACGGTATCGGGAGAATTTTACGTCTGATGTTTTCAAAGTTTGGCATCTTGACCATAGCTCTAGTTTTACATTGAGGCGGAATTTGAGGTTTCGACAACGTGTAGCTTATCTTTGATCTGCGAAGGTATACTTTTCCTTTTATTTTAACTTCGTTAAAAAAAAAGAGGTATGAATAAAAATATGGACGATGAGAAGTAAAGTAGAAGCTGTCGTATGTTTTTAATGCAATAGAATTTTTAAGCTACTACTCAAGATTTCCAGCTACATGGGTATCTGGTTTCTTGTCCACGAAAACAGTTTCCTGCTAAATTTAGCAGAATTTTGCAATTCCGATAAATTTAGCAAAATTAAAAAAAAAAAAAAAAATTAGTAAATTATACAAAAAAAAGAAAAAAAGACACACACAGGGTGCAATCGTGTGGTTTACGCAATTTCAACTGCACGACAGTATTTTACGGTATCAAGAGAATTTTACGCCTGATACTCTCAAGGCGGACCCATATTAGCCCCGAGAAGTTCGCGTGGCGCCCCCTTACGGCGAACCGGGGTGACGTCACGGCGAGGAGAGAATTTTTCCCCGACTCGGCCCGCTCGCCCTGTGGAGGCTGTGACGACGCTAGCTGACGGCGCGCTCGTTTCTATTTTATTTTCTTTTTGCGTGTTTTTCCTAGGAAGGGTAAATTTTTATATGAACCTTTATTGAGGTACGGCCTGCAGCTACAGGCGAAGCTTCAACCAACATTTTAAACATGGTTGACAGGGCAGGCAACGCATGAATCACAGCTGGTATATGAAAATAAAGAAATATGGCCACAATTGCAGGAGCGTCACTATAGATTTACATCTCGCACAATAAATGCTGCTGATGGTCTGAATGAATTGGCAGGTTATGTATATTATTATTTTTGTTTTTTGTATCTCTGTTTTTAAACAAGATCGCCGAAGCAGAAAAGCTGCATGCTGCTCGAGCAACATGTTAAATACAGTCTAAGCCATCAAGAAAAAATCACAAGTAAGACAGCCCAAGTGCAGGGGCAAAGTAAAAAAAAAAAAAAACAAGGAACATTTATTATATACAGCGGTTGCGTTTGACCTTTGCTGGATTCGGATAGTATTTCAATGGACTACACGGGTGGTATTTGTGGATCAACCCTCAATTAATGTATAACAAACGTAAGCGAAGGTGTCTACCTCGTTATTAGCCCCTTAAGCCCTAAAATTGAGATTTTACTTAAATCGAATTGTCCTGAAGCTAAAATACCAGAAACTTTTCTCACGTAGACTGTCGCCCTTCACAGGTTCTAAATTTTCTGCTGCTAGTGCTGCATCTACCACTGGACAGACGTTCGAATGCTTGCTTTTACTCCTGTTTTCCTCTGTTGTCAGAGAGTCCAGCTGTAGGGAGTTTGGAGGCTGAGGAAGCGTTTGGGGACCTGCAGCAGTGTCTTTTTTAATTGGAAATAACAATTCAAACTAAACGGTGTATTTTCGGAATAGGCTGGAATAAAGAATGTCAGGAAAAAGTACAAACATTCCATATTACGGCACTATTGCCGTGCATAGTTTGGCAGTTCAATACATATCATAGACAACTGGGGGCAATTTGGCCGTTTTTGCTGCTACCATACAAACTAATTTGCAGTAAGTGTGCAGCTTCTAAGAAATATGCGTGCATACGTGTATAAACTATATAATTAATTCACGAAGAAGCTACATTTATGTAAAACAACCCTGTTCCATGAGCACTTCAAAGAAAACATCTGCGAACCAGCGCATGCAGAGTGCCACCGCAGAGTCAGGGTCGCGAGCTAACTTGCCGACCACCCAAACGCCCATGATATAAATGCCACTTCAAATGCCTTGAAAGCGGGATGTAATATCGTCTTAAATCATAAACGTGCAAGGAACAGAATTCCAGCGTCTGAAACGCTTGCGCCATCGCTTCACCGACCTCTCGCAAGTTTGCCTTGTGTCGTGTGGACGGACGGGGAGGTTCATCGGCGGAATTGCCTCCGCCGATAGCTTTCGGGATTTGTAACGCAATTTTAAAGGTAAAAGGGACAAGCAGGCTTATAAAATGTACGGAAGCACGTCAATATCGGCCTAACTCGACGTCTTGCACACCGGGTAAACGAAGTCCAGCTCCTCGAAGAGCTTGCGGCACACAACGCCAAACCAGGCAACCGGTGCTGGGAGGCGAGCCGACGCGAGATCGCGGAGCGGAGTACTCGCCCTGACGTCACAGTACACCTCACCCAATCCGGGCGCGGCGACCGCAGCGACGCTTGTGCTCGCTCTCGGGGCTAATAGGGCGTATTCTCGACGAATTTACGCGCGTTTCAGCGGGCGTAATCACAACATTTGGCGGGCGTTTTTTTCACAGAATGGAAGAGGGGAAGGTCGCCAAACCACACACAACACTTTTCGTTGACGTCTCCTCGGCGTTTAGTGCAGTGTAGCCCGGCTAGCGCCTTTCATGGAAGGAGAGAAAGTGTAGATCGGCTGCTATATTATTCCGTTTGGCAAGGGGAAAGAAATAACTAAATGCTGATCAACCACAAATGCCTAATTTGCTAACGCCTGTTTCATAAATGTTTTTTTTGCAATCGCCGTTGCCAAGAAGTCCTACAGGAGGACGGCCGCAATCCCTGCTCAAAACCCTTCCTTTTATAATTTTTTTTTTCACATCGCCCGCAGCATAGAGGGTATGTCCTTCTGTTCTGTCTCAGTCGTTTATCCTCTGTTCAAAGAGATATATCGATTTCGTTAGGCGAGCCGATCCTCAAGTAAGTTCCGGCTGTTAACTCGGGAGCTGATTGGCCGGCACCGCGCCTTACGCCTCCGGATACACCATGCCGAAATACGCCCAAGCGCCGAGATCTGTCACGGCCGGATCGCCGAATACGCGCGTATTTACGCCGACCTCGAAGCGTCGAGGAAGCGCTCGTCCCGATGCCCCGTGAATACGTCGCAAATACGTCCTATGTGGTTCAGCCTTTAGTGTTTAAATTCTTGACACGTTGCCCTTAGCTCTAGTTCTACATTGAGGCGGAATTTGAGGTTTCGGTAACGTATAGCTTATTTTTGATGTCCTAAAAAATGACGGTATAGTTTGCCCTTTTATTCTGACATCGTTTCCAAACAAGAACAAGAAAATATGAGTAAAAATTTAAAAATGAAAAGTAAATTAATAACCGTCGTGACTTTTTAATGCGATAGAATTTTTAAACTAGTACTCAAGATTTTCAGCTATATGGGTATCCGATTTCCTGGCCACGGATAGAGTTTCTCCCTTAAATTTAGCGGAAAAACTTACGTCACGAAAATGTTTCCCGGCTAAATTTAGCGGAATTGCAAAGTTCCGTAAATATAAATAAATCTTTAATGAAATATTTAAATCAGCTACAAAAAGAAAACAGGGTACAGCTCTGTGGTTTCTAGAATTTCTGGAATTTCTAGAATTTTTACAGTTTTTACTGCTCGACCGTATTTTACGATATCAGGAGAAGTTTACACCTGATAGTTTTACGCTAGATTTTACGCTAGTTCTACATTTAGGCGAAATTTGAGGTTTCAACCACGAGTAGCTATATATTTCATGTGCAAAAAAAAAAAAGAAAAAGATATAGTTTTTTTTTTCACTTCGTTTCTGTTTACAAATCTCTGTAGTGCGAAATTAGAGCACATCTCTTGAGGAGCGGAGGGTACGGGAGGGAGGGTATGCCCCTCCTCCGTACCCTTTCCTTCTCCCCTCCTCCTTCCCCTCCCCCACCTCTCCTGTTCCTCCTCATCCCGTCCTCCTCCTCCTCTTCACCCCTCCTTTTCCTCATGACCTCCTCGTCCTCCTTCCCTCCTCCTCCTCGGTACACACCCCTCCTACATACCCTTCCCTCCTCCCACAGTTTTCCCGCTAGATTTAGCTGAGAGATTGACGCCGCGTGACCTCAACACCAATGCAGTTTCCCCACTGAATTAAGTGGAAAAATTGACGTCACGACCTATGCACAAATTTAGGTTCCCCGCTAAATTCAGCAGAACAATTGACATCACGGCCTATGCACCGATTCAGTTTCTCGCTAAATATGGCGGAAAAATTGACGTCATTACCTATGCACTCATTCAGGTGCCCCGCATAAACGTGCTTAGATGGGCCAGTTGGTACATTGCAAAGGGTATAAAGCCAGGAAAAAACACGGACCGAGACAAGAAGAAAACGACAGAGGGCGCACTCTCAACTGAAGTTTATTCGAAAAAGTATACACTATTATTCCCAACGGGAACGCACGGTCATCAATCAATCCCTGCCCAGCTCACGTTTTAGGTACTCATACTTATCCAAGTGCGTCAGCAAAACGTCTCTGGCCCTATCTACGGACGAGTATGAGTACTTAAAACGTGAGATGGGCAGGGATTGATTGAATACTGTGCGTTCCCGTTGGGAATTATAGCGTGTACTTTTCGAATAAACTTCCGTTGAGAGCGCGCCCTGCGTCGTTGTTTTCTTCTTGTCTCGGTCCGTGTTCTTTCGACGCTTTATACCCTTTCCCCGCAAAATTTGGTGGGAAAATTGATGCGTTGCACCACGTCACGGTACCTATAAACAAATGCAGGTTCCCCTGACTCAAACAAATTCAGGTTCCCGTATGTGCAACAATAAATGCTATTGCATTGAGTCATAATCAGCCCTGTGGTTTTTACAATTGTTTCATAAGAAGAAAAAAATGGACACTTGAAAAGTACTCTAAGTACTTTATTATCTTGCAGGTGTTTCGCAAAATTATGCGAAAGAGCCGTTCTCTCGGGGCGACCGACTGGGTTTTTAAAAGCCTGCCGGAAATAAACTCAGAGCGCATGTTCTTCCTGGCCTTTGCGACGGTAAGCCAATGTGTGTGGGATGAAAAAAAACAACAACAACAACAACAAAAAACACAACTTAAAGGGATACTACAACGAAATTTCGGCGCTCATTTTTTGGTCTATATGTGTTCAAAAATGCCGCATCACATCGAACATACCAATATCTTGTTAAAAAAGTCACGAAAAGGAATTTTAAAACGAATTAAACGATTAGCGAAGAGCACCTGGTGGATGTCGCTAACGCCTCGCTTGAAAAGCCCGTCTAGGAACCCTGACAGCTAGTGACGGAGGTTGTCTCGTCTCCGGCCACGACGAGAGAAGAGGGGAAGGGGGAACTCCCCTCTTTCCGAGAATGCCTTTTGTGTGCCGCAGAAGTCGCTATTGTCCCCCTACAAGATTGCAGAAGATTAACCCGTGACTTAAAGTTCGTACAAAAGCAGCCGCTTCGGTGGCTGAACGACTAGGCCATTCTCTCGACGTCAGCCTCGCCGTAGCTTTGCTCGTCTTGAGACGACCTACGTCACGATTGCGTTGGATGTCACGTGATCTCCGCTGGGCCTTCTCCGAGCGCTTGCCAGAGTGGGCCGTTTATAACGAAAAATACAGCCACCAGGCTAAAATAAAAACGTGGGATTGTCATTTGCGGATATTGTGGATCATATTCAACCTTTTTTTGAACACGACAGGAATATTTCAAATTTCGTTGAAGTATCCCTTTAACATAAACCAATTTTATATGGAAGTAATACCAAGCTGTGTGAAAAAACAAGATAAATCAATGCTCTATTGTCTAAATAACGTGTTTTAAAACTGCAAAACAAATCAAGAACCTAGGGTATTTAAAAAAAAAAAAAAGATATTCAACCAAGTTTTTTTCGTCGAAAACGTGTTTCAAATACGAGGATACAAAGTGAAAATATAGTTTTTTTTTTCTTTAAAACTAACAGATTTTTTTAAGGAATGCCGGGAAAGCTACACTTACGCGGTTTGGGCAGGTGAATTATACGGCCAGGGAGACATAGTTGGGGGGGGGGGGGGGGGGGGGGGGGCTAATCATGACCTGATATGTGCTCGTTACTTAAAAAATCTAATGAATTACAATTACAAATTACCGAGCCTTAAATGTAATGGATTATCGTTACAAATTACTTTCGCTGAAAAGTAACGGATTATACTGTACTCATAACGTTACAAATTACTTTAAGGTTACTTTCTTCACATACTTATCCAAAAAGTCAATAGAAAAAAATGTTACGCAACCACAACTTTTCTTTTCTCATACGGCCGTATTATGGTAGTCTTTGTGCAAATAAAATATTGCATTTAATAGAAACACTGTATGGTGCACTCTGTAAGCTGACAAGGCACCGAAAGCTGCAACCACATTCGCCATCCCGCTAGCTTACGGCCTCCGGGAATGATCCCTGGAATTGTGCAGACAAAGCTAGCGGTGCGCATGCTCAGTAGCGGCGTCTACCTCCGCTACGAGATTCGGAGCGGAGGTAGACGCTGCTACCTTTTTTACTCAGGTGTTTCGCCTGTTATTCACAAGAAAAGAAAAACTTTGTTCTAACGTTACAATGTATAGTCAATGCAGAATGCAGGTGTCCCAGCTTACCTTGATGTGTTTCTGTAGATTAGAGTTTGTTGTTCTTGCTGATGACAATGTGTGTTTTTCGGCAAGCAAAGTATACACTTAAACTCTAGGTTTCCGTTCTCCTTAATGCCCTGAAGTTTGAACATCTCATTAGAGATGGCCATTAAGACGACGGAGACTCCATGACCGAAAACGCGACCAGTCAGAGAAAAATGGCGGTTACCGGATATCAATCGTTCATCGGTTCTCACTTTCATACCAATATTCGTGAAAGCCAGGGGAGGGGATGGGTTAAGAAGCGAGAGAAGCGGTGGCCATTGGTCTCACAAAACAATAAAGCAGTGGTTCTTAAATGGGGGTCCGCGAACCCTCTGGTGTCCGGGAAGGCGTTCTAGGGGTCCGGAAAGCTTTACCTTATCGTTCAAGCTCGGCAATAAAAGTCGTATTCTTTTCAGATTGAGAAGAAACATTCCAAATTTTGGACGAGTTTTCTCGTGTGTTTGATAATGAGCGACGTCTACTCCACACTAGCCCTTAGTTATATGAATTTATTAAATAATTATCAAGTTTAACACTTACCTTTTCCTTTTTTCGCGGCGGACGGGGTCCCCTATAATCTCCGCCGATCCAGAGAGGGTCCGCGAAACATCAATGGTTGAGAACCACTAAGGATCACATCACTCGTTCTCTCTTTCTCTTTCTAACTCTGTCAGCACTCCCTAGATGGTCTACCCCACCCCCTTCTTTATGTTGACAACTGACTATAAGTGAGGAGTGGACTCGACCACCATGCCCAAACAAGTAAAGCAAGAGAAGTATCGTCCGTACAATCAAAGACGATGCTCTTAGCCTAACACCAGGTGCTTTTCAGCCGTGCCTCAAGAGTGTGCTAGAATACTGTAGCGCACATTAAAGACAAAGATAATTCAACCCCCTCGCGCGAGGCTACATCGTCTGTTACGCGAGTTGTGAACCCGCGCATCGAGGGGGTACGGACTCGCGTTTGATGTCTGTGCAGGTGGCGGGAGACGTCGAAGAAGTTGGAATGGGTGAAATGGTGTAAAAGACAAGAACAAACGAACACAAAGAGCTTTCTTCTGCCCGGGAGAAGTAGAAAAACAAGATGGAAGTCGACGGAGAGCCTACTCGGCTCTCCGTCGCTGTTCTTACTTGATCTTTGTCTTTTGTTTATATTTGTATGTGCCCTGCCCATTTTTCTAGTGGTTCTTGCGACAGGTCATACAAAAAATCGTGTTTTCTTTTTGGTTATTCTTCCCTTCCTGATGTTTTCTATTTTGTTGAACTTGCTCTCTTTATGCTGCTGAATGTTCTGCTCGTATTGCTCAAGTTACTGCATTATGCTTATATTTTTTTGAAAAATAACGAGTGACTAAAGTAATCTGTTACCAATATTTTGTAACGAAATTACATTACAAATTACTTTCGAAAAATAGTAACGTGGCAATTACAAAACTACTTTAAAAAGTAACGGATTACAAGTAATTCATTACTTGTAACGGATTACTTCCCAAGTCTGATCGTAACGATCGGTCGGATATTTAAGTAAAAGTTGTTAATACACTTTTTAATTCGTGAAAATAGACAAATAGTTCCAATGGACTTCTTCCAAAACCCACGCGCCCCATCGCGGCGAAATACCACGCAGTGCACTCTGGGAACTAGTTGGCCACTCAGTTTTGGTTTCTACTGAGCAGCTTCATCTCATGCTATCACGCCGTGACCGAACGCGCTGCTTGCGTTTTCGATTATCTGACTTTCCACGAACATACAATACACTCATTCTCGAGTGATTCAAAACGAAGACCGGGGAACTTTCCTTGGTTCCCGAAACACCGGATATTGTGCGTGCGTATGCAAACGTATCGTGGCTTAGTCACCTCACCCCACGAGTGCGTGTTTGAGCTCAATTTCAATAATCCCGTCTAGTACCAGTGAACTAAAACTGAAATTTTTTTATGTGGAGCCTTACACGTATTTTGCTTGCCAAACGTCCGCTTCTTGTGACTTCATTGGGCGAAACGCAAGCCGCATCCTCACAGGGTATCAAAGTTGAACCCAGCGTTTACGCAATTGACCTTGGTTTACGCATGAACTTTTAAGGAAACGTAATAAATTCGACCTCACTTATGCACAGAAGTTACTATGATGTCTTCCTCGTGTCATCATATATCTCCCACTCAAATTTTATGCTGATAGAAGATTAACTTTTCGCGAACGCTGAGATCGGCTAGCTACGACGGAGGCAAGCGTCCCCTACTCCTCGCTAAGAATTTTTAAACGAGCTCTTACTGACGCCCAAGATCTGTGCCTGAACGGTGTGTCTGAAATTATCTCGCGGCATACTCAGGTAGGAAGAAAGAAAACACATAACAAATGTTATGGCCATTAGCAACCGTCAAACACGCTTTGAATTCGTTCGTTTGGCGCACCCGTCCGGCGCACTTCCGACGAACGGTGCAACATTCTTCACACAAGTGCTCGACTTTTGCTTTCTTAAAACGTTCTGTATGTGCGAATTTGCATATATGATTGCAGGATAACTTTATACGCGTACGCAATGTTGAATATTAGTGGAATGCAAGCGGGTGGGGACTTCACTTCGTGCAGTGCTGCGAGTCAGTATAAGAAGTGTGATTAAATTGAGCTTTTTAATGGCGCCTCCTAGTTTTACCTCGCATACTCACGCATATTAAGAAAAACAGTAATTGCAAAAACTAATATTTCGTTTATGGACGCACGAAACAATCAAACTTCCTGATCAACAACACTAATGTAAAGGCGCGAGCTCGATGTATGCATGTTGCTACAGCTTGTTGATTCGTACACAAGCAAGATCCCCGAGCTTCGCAGCGTCGAGATTCCCAGCACTGGCTCGTCCACATACCTCGGTTGGAACGCTAACAGGAAGGCTCAAGTACAAAAATACAGCAAGCATGTGTTAAGACAAGCTATACGTCTCAGGCTTGTGCTAAAGCTTCGAGGTCTGGCCATTTAGATTAGTTTAGAGACCACAAACGACGCTCTCGGGACCAGAAAACATAAGATAACAGCCGTCAATAGTCCACGCTCTGTGTATAATCTCTTGTCGACGTGTCGATCGAAACCGAAACCATGCCACCCTCGTCCTTGGCCAACTAGTTCCCAGAGTGCAGCGCGTGCCGTGTTGCATGCAGGACTTTATGGAAGTAGTCTATTAGAAACTTGCTGAGCGTCATCGAAGATCACTAAATCAGTAACTTTTAGAAAGACTTTAAGCGCGTGAAAAGCGAAGTAGTGCGCTGAAGTTACCACTTGTGCAGCAGGGGCGAGGCTACCGATGCGATAGCGCGCCCGCGTGCATTTTCCGTCTCTTATTATAGCCCCAGCTTTGTTCATGCTCGTCTCTGATGAGCCAGTCGAGTGGTAAATTTAGAACGTTCTCAGGCAACAAAGTGCTCGAGTCACCACGTCCTACAGTCTAAACTTTTATCAAAGCTGCAGGTCAGTGAACTTGGAACAATACGCCTCCTGCGCTGAAGCTTTGAACAAATTGTGGCGCTCTTGTTTTGGGTAGCACAAGCTCACCTGATTGGGCCTCGCACTACCTGTGGCGCCATCGCTGAGCTTTTTATTTTTTATTTTTTCATTTCTTTTGTGTAGTGCTGATAAACGTGATAACACCTTTCGACGTCTGAAATCGGCTAGATTCAACGCAGTAAGACAATCGAAAGTGCCACATTAATACAACCAGTGCTAGGCTACACTCAGCGTTATTAGATTAGCTGGCTACACGGCTCTTATTCTGGGTGGGGACGTCAAAATATCTCACCTTTTTATGTTTTATTTTTACTTTAGAACACGTGAAACGGCATCTCTTGGCTTGTGCTCAGTTTTAACTTGTGCTTGGACGGCCTTCAAAGTTTTGTTGTTTCTCTGTATTTTCCTCGTGATCTCGCGTCCCGCACCAGAACAGGCTCGCTTCTAGATGTGTGACAGTTTGAAACGCTCAATGTTTTTACTATACCATAGCCTCCTCCATACTGAAAAAGCCAGGCAGATTGCTACGAAAAGCGGCTGCCGAAATCGAAAGGTAGAGCAGTAGACAACGGATGAGAGGAGAGCCACGTGGCGGGCGCCCCGCTGCGGCGAGGCGCCGAAACACACTTTTCCCGAGCGATGGAATGTCCGCTCATCCTCCTCGCGTTCCTCGCGCTACCGCTTCTTTTTTTGTTGGGTTTGAAAACCATGTTTAAAATCCTCGCCGCTGCAAAAGCTGTGCGCTGACGTCCACGTTCCCTGAGAAATGCTCTGTACGTGTTACCAGATCCTCGCACTCCAAATCTGCGACCGGGCCATCTATGGCTCCGTCGTCGAACTGCCAGGCTTTGTGAGTATAGAGGAGGCTATGACTATACCCAAAGCAAGTCTTAACAAGTCCCTTTTTGCTGCACCACCTGGGGAACGCAAGAGGCCTATTGCCCTCAAGAATGTTTTTTTTTTCGTATTTACGTTTTGTCTGTATCGCCATGGCAGTCAAAAATGACTTTGAGACCCTTTTATTGGTTGGTGATGCTTTGTAGTCCGTCTGAAAGGCGGAACAGTACCAGGAGCTCTGGAAGGACTCGCCCGACATATATTTATTGGAAGCTGCGAATTCAAAAACCACTTCCGTGTCCCTTTAGGATCTGTTCTTCGTGCTGCGTTTGACGACATGTCATTCATGGAACCTTTCTAATGCGTCCAGATGTTTTGCGACTTGAAGCGGACTCGCGCAATCAAGATGCAGCTCACCCATGGTCCATTCAGCCCCGGAAACTACAGGTGATGCTTCGTGTCAGTTGATAAATTTCTACGTTTCTTAACGTTCTTTCACACGACGCATCTTTTCAACAAGCAGCGGTTTAGAGAAACCGGGACTTTCTTGAAATCGACGAACTTCGCTGAACTCGGCTTTACTCGGTTTACTAGACCTGTCAAACTGAGGACAGAACGCAAACGTCAGGCGGATGATCTCAAAGTGTTTCGGAACATTTTTGCACATATAAAATATCAGTTATATCGTCATTATGTTTATATGCGGTGCATGCGCTCGTCACGACTGAAGGAATTTGCACCGCGCCACCAACTGCACCAACTCGTACTGGCCGTATACGCACCGCTCCTCTGCCTGTCGTTTGCCGCCATGTTTGTTTTCTCTTTTCGGTTTTGGCCACTTAGGCTTTTGGATCAGATACGGTATCGGCCAAACATCAGGCGCCTCCAAAAGTTTTCTCCGCCTCGAAGGTCAGACGTCACAGCAATGTCGAGCGGCCATTGGCAGCGTTCGTGTTTCTCGTTCGAGTGATTGACAGGCCTCGGAGAGGTTTCAGCAAAATCTCGCTCCAGAGGCGAGTAACGCGAGCAACCTCGTTCGGAAATGCGCCGCTTTTTTGGTCGCGCGTTCACACGAAGCATCTGTTTCCCGAAACCCAGTTTCGCGACAAAAGATTCGCCAACAAGATGCATCGTGCGAATAGACCTTTAAATAAATAGTGAGTTACGAAGCGTAGTAAGGAGCCGCACACTCTCAACAAGATCTAAACGTATTAGACATCAGAATTCACCCTTCCCCCCCCCCCTTCCCTTCCCCCCCCCCCCCTTTCAAGAAGAAAAAGAAAATTCTTTCTTAATTGTCTGGCGAGAACATTTGCTAAGGCTACACTTTGCTCTATTGGGTGGAACCACTGATCTCTATGACAATTGCTGGATTGCGTTTGCCCGCTCCGCGAATGCGGTCACTAGCGCTCATCTTTTTGGTAGAGTTATATCACCTCTAGCCAAGGTACAGCTGCTGCAGCCACTATCATCCATCCATGGCAGACAGCGTTGTAGCAGTTGTGGTGGCAAGCTGCCATCAAAATAGCGTGGGTGATATTTCGTGATTGATTGAAATTGTTTGACGAAACATATTTTTGAAACCCGGCGTGAACGGTAGCACGATCTTTGAGGACCCGGTGAAAGTTTTACGAAATCGCGGCACCGGGGAAAAGCAGCACAGCACGCATTGAAAGTCGCATCAAAAGAAGCATCGAAAGCAGACGCCGGTAAGGAGTCTGCTTTCGATGCGAGCTGCGCTGCTTTCCCCCGGTGCTGCGCTTTCGTAGAACTTCGCCGGGTCCTCAAAGATGAGGCTACCGTTCACGCCGGGTTTAAAATCTGCTTCGTCGAACAACTTCAATCAAGCACGAAATATCACCCACGGTACAGTGTACTAGATCTACGGCTATTTTATGGCAGCGCCTGCCGCCATTGCGCTGTCAGCCATATTACTATGATGGCTAGAGATAATATAACTCTACCAAAAAGATGGCCGACCGTGGCTGCATTCCCGTCCAGAGGCGGAGCTGGTCAAACGCGATCCAGCAAATAGTCATAGAGATCAGTGGGTGGAACATGCTTTCAAACTGAGAATGGCGTACAAAAGACGACCACGAAGGAAAGAACACATCGCAACGTGTAGGTGCTTATTTCTTTCGTGGCCGTTTTGTGGGCTTGACCTGTTTTCACAGATGGAGGACACGCATGTCACAAGAAAATATATATTAGCGCTTTATTTACGCCCCCCCCCCCCCCCCCCCCCCCCGAGTCACATTTCACCGATTCCAAAACAATTGCTCATAACTCAGAATGCGTCTCGCGACGCAAGTGTTTTGATAGAACGGTAAAGAAGTACATTTTGTGACATACGTGCCTCCTCCAAACGCAAAAGAAGATTTTTGGGAGTTCTATGTCGCATCAAGTGCTGATCTTCCTTTAATTAGCGCGGAAATTGAGAAGGGCGATGGGTGTCGAGCTCCAACAGCTTAGCGGTCTCAACAGCTGGATGGACGCCAAATGACCACTGGACGCTCATTGGCTCACCATACAGCTCGACCTTATCATTTACTAAACTTCTTGTTTTTTTTTTTTTTTTGTTTTTTTTTAAAGGATTTTTTGCGCATGCGTCCTCTTCCCCGACTCTTGTTTCCCGCTGTCGCCATTTTTGGAAAGCACCTTCGCGCACGACCAGCCTATTCAGCGCCTATCTTTGCACGTATTCCGTCATTTCTGGTGATTCTTTTTCTGGTTATCGGTAGTGCGAGGAAACCAATGAAATCTGGTACAACGGCACTATAGGGGTATCTACCGAGAGCTCGGCATTCTTGAGTAGTGAAGTGGCGACCACGTGCCGCCACTTCACAACGACAGAACTGGCGCTGCGGTCAGTTTAAATGGTGCATTCTCAGTTTCTCACTCAAAGCCGCATGGCGCGTCTAGCGGCGAAGCCAAAGCTACGCGCGTAAGACCCGTCATGCACTCGCGTTCGTGCAATGCAAACCCAGTGCGAAGCGATTTCCTTGCGACTGTAGTTTACGCAGCGTATAGTGCGTGTTCTAGAACGTAATTCGAAAAAAAAACGAAAAAAAACAAACAAACAAACGTTATTTGCCACTTGTTGAACATATCAATGGGAAAATGGCGTCCGACAGAGCTTTCGATTGTAGGGTGCTCTAGGGCGCCAGAAACTGAAAACGCGCGAAGGTGGGCCCCATTTCCCCATTGAAATTTTCAGAAAATCACTCGTAACTTTTGAATAAAATATCGTTTCGGATCGAAACTTTGGCATCGGGTTCGGACCTCTAGCGCTAGCTCTCTGCAGAGAATGAACGTTCAGCCATGCATAGTTTACTTTTGCAGTAAAAAAAACAAAACAAAACAAACAAAAAAAAAAACTAATTTTGTTTTTGAGCATTTTGTATTTCTTGTTTTGCTTCTTTTCTCGGGTTGCTGCTTTGTTTCCACGTACGCGCAGCTAGCTCATTTCTGGTCACAAAAGTGTGAAGCGTCTCGTCGGTACTTGCCGGCTACGATCGACAACGTTTTTTCATTTATTAGTGAAGATCAAGACGGACACCACCTGTTTCGCGCCCTTCTGCAAGACAGGCTACAAGTCCGCGAGACAAGGGATCGTGCTACGACAAGGGTAGATAGAACTTCAGTCCCAGTCAGTGATTTGTGAACCCCACTTTGAAGAACAATTCATCGCGCGGCATTTCCCCCACGTCATCAATGGAGAGGTCATCCAACTCGCGAGTGATTGTTCCTGCCTAACCAATAATGCTGTCCCCTCCATCCTCTCAGACGACCCTACATAGATTTATTTTGTGTTTGTGTTTTATTTCATATTTTACATTTTAATTCCTTCTATGAGTAAAATACCAACATTCTGCACATCGAGGGCGATTTTTTTTTTTTCATAGCTGCGGAACCGCAGCGTTTTTGTACCGCACCTACATAAAGGAACCGGAAGTCTTGCGTGAGTGCCATCGAGCGGCGTTATGAAGGAGTGGCTTGCATCCAGTTTTCTTCTCGGTACACTATACGCCTATAACCACCATATCTGTTATGACGGACGGAGGCACGTCGGACTGCCCTTTATTTGTTCATCGCAGACAAACCCCCAAACGACGCTCGCTAATCGATAAAAAAAAAAAAAAAAATCTCTATTAGCGTTTTCAGTGCACCGCGGAGAAGCATACATACAGGAGCTTCTGGTTGTGTAGGTTATATGTTACACTGCCACTAATTGCTTTGTCTAGATTTTTTTTTTTTTTTTTGCTATGCTTGCTGACAGTTTTGCTGTTTATTTTTCAGGGTTAACTTGCCTTTGATGAACTTCGCGAAGTTTGCCAAAGCCTTCGGCTGCAATCCTGGCGACGGTATGATCGTTGAAGAGCGCTGTCAAGTCTGGGACTGAAGGGCATAATGTACACACGTAGGCAGCGTGTCCAGATATGAAGTAACTTGATTGGCAGTGTTCCATATATTTTTACGAATACGGATATATCACCCCAATAATTACCAGAAATATTAATAAAACATTAATATGTAAATGCTACAAGGTTAAAGTCTCTTTCACGAACTTTAGTTTATTCAGATGCTTCTTGTTATTTAAAAGAAAACTGAAGCGGCTCAGTATTCAAGAAAAAAAAAAAAAAAGAAAACACCCGAATTGTTTTCATCTGGTCTCCAGCATCACGAATATCAAAAGATAATTTCAGATCGAACCGCCAAGTAGCCACAACAGCGCTTTCAAAATAACGCTGAAACCCCTCCTTCCCAGCGTTTTCGGCGGGAAGAGGGAATCGTGACGTATTATTGTTATGTCTGAGATGTCATGGTTAGTTTACTTACACAAAATCATTACAGAAAAAAAAAAAAAAACAAGAAACGGCCAGCTAGGCCCAACGTCTGTTCAATTCAAGGTTCCGTGCCAGAGTTCGCGCGTTTCGCGCGCTTGCACAAACTCTGATGCTCATCGTTGTTTGCGTGGTTCCTGATGATGGTACCTTTTCTATTGCTACACATCCAATTATACAAAGAAATCAACATTTTCCCGCCTTCCGCAAGACTTACCTGATTAGTCAGAAACGCTGCATGCGTTCCGTCACAGTCGGCACGGGTAAGGTAGATAAAAACCTCTGGGTATGACATCACACCCAGTGGTCGCGGTTTTTCGTTTTTTTTTTTCGCGTCTATCGGTACGCTCAAGTGAAGTTCTTGGGATATTCAAATTCACATGACAAAAATACGCTCACATTAATCCCTAACTCGTTTTTTTTTTCAAGAACATCTTTAGCTTTTTCTTAAAGTGCGATTTGTTTTCACTTTCTGAGGCATTGTTACTAAAGTATGAACGACAAATTTTAGTACCTCAAGCAACTTATACATTCGAGCGCAATAACATAGAGACGATATGTTCACATTTATATTACATGTTTTATTTATTCATTTATTTACATATACTGTTTATTTCCACGAGGGGATTCAACGAGTGCGAGGCGTAACATCATGAAGAAAAAAACAGAAAGAGCCTGAAATACTACAACTTAGTAGGCAAATACAAAAATGAAGTGACTGTTGGCCAGGGGAGAAAACAAGTAATACAATCATTGCTAGTTACAGATCCACGTATGGTAATAGGAATGGAAAGAAACGAATAACAACGAACTATACATTTTAAGGTCTCTACTACCCAAACATTAAAAATAGACGCTTTGCAGCAGCTGTGCATGGATGCCGCCATAACTGACCTTCAGTTTTTGTTTCCTCTTATTTTGTTTGTTTCACTTTATCATTACCATAGCAGTCCAAGTTATTGCTATATTAGATTCAACTGTGTCCTTTTCTATAGCATCAGCCTTTGTAGAGGTTCGTCAATTACCGTTTCAGTTGCTCGGCATCTCGGTAAGACAAGAGAAGGTCAGCAATGGCGGCTGTAATCTGGCGCGTGTGTAAAGCGTCTATAGCACTTTTAGGGTCATCTGGGCAGGTGGTCAACAGAACTTTCTGCGGACGGTCGTTAGAATTTCGGATCGTTCCAGGAAAGATACCTAGGACGTAGTTATTAAATTTTTAAAGTGTAAATTGATGTCCCTGAATATTTGTATTTTCTATGAGATGTGCCAGGCGACATTGAAACGGCAAATGAGGGCAGTCATCTTTTGACAATGTCGTGGCAGCAGCTCTAACTTCAATAACAGTCTGTCGGGAGATGGACAGCGTTGGGGAACACAATAAATAGGTCTGCGCATGGAAATATGGGAAAGCGATGCTTCCGGCGCCAAACGGGGTGCCTTCGTTGTGTGCATGCGCGCCGTTGAGACAGATGCTGCCGAAACCTCGTGCCTCATAACTTGACGACAACGGAAATTTGATTTGGGGAATTCTTCATGTTCTGGTAATGAGAAACGACGACCAGGATGAAGTATACCTAAACAAAAGAAAACAAAACGAAAACAGTACATTCTTAATTTTTTTACGTCTTACCGTGAGAGTTCAGCACCTTACCTGGAGTCCAAATATTCCCAATGCAGCTGCCAACAGCGCAATGTCGCTGATAACCTAAAGAGAAAGACAACAACAAATGAGTTGGTCTAATAAATATACACAATGTCCCCCAAATATTGTTGAATTGTTTCCATTGCAAGAATTAATTACCGTATTTACTCGAGTAATAGCCGGTTCTTTTTATGAAGAAGGCCCGGCCCTTGCGTCTACTTTCCTGTGGAACACACATAAAGCCAATCATCTCGCTCTGCATAAAAAAACGCAGCGATCAAATGACGAGGTTGAGAACACAATTCTCATAAAAATGCGATGTGAGCAGATAGCATTATCGTGTGAAGACGTTATCTCTCTCCCGTAAACCGGTGCCTTTTTTTTTTTTTTTTTTGCCGACCACGGTGATAAGCCATTGCTGTGCTCCGCGGGAAAGCAAACCCACAGGCTTTGTTTATGATCAGCGCGGCTATTACTCGAGCAAATACGGCACTCTCGACCCAAGGCCCTGTTTCCGCCCCAATATATCTCGGTCTGGACCAGATACCAAAATTTCAGAAGGAGACCGGCGAGGCTCACACTAAAATAGAGCGGCAAGTTAAAGGTTGCTCGCAAAGATCCTACAAAAGAATGTCCCTGTGAACTGGACGTAATAAAATTAGTATTATGTGCTTTTTTCTGAAAAGCCTTGAAAGGTAAATTAGACTTTACTATAAATGACTGCAAACTATAATAAATTGACAGTTACATATTTCCTCTAGAGAGTAATTTCCTATATAGATTACCACGGCTGCAATTTTTCGTACGAAATATATATACGTTGCAAAAAAAAAGCCAAGGCCTTGTTTCACCGAGGTTTATATGTTCATTTCGTGGAGGAATTGTACCTTTTTTGATATCGTGGTAGCTCGGCGGGGCTGTGTCTCCATCTTCCTCCACTTTGGCTGTATACGTGCATTTTTAATCTCTTATTTTTTTACCATGCCGATGGGCACTCATTATTCTCGAGTTTCTGTCTACGCTTATTAGTTCTCACTTAAAATTCAGCCTTTTTTAGTACTTCTTTTCTCATAAAAACGTTTTTTTTCTTTCTTGTGCTGACTTTTGTTTGAGACGTTCGAACTAATTAATTATGTTACAAAATTTTCTTCTCGTGGAGTCATGAACTGTATTACTCATTATTACAATACTTTACTTGAGTCATTGTATCTCTATTAGGGTAAATAAAGCCCCTTAATAAAATGTATGCTTCATGTTTCTTACAAGCATCGACGAGCATTGCTGTGCGAACGCTCGATAAGTGCCACGAGCGAGTACCGCTCAGCCATTTGCTTCCCAGGACCGCTCATTTTATACTTCATTCACCCTTAGGACTGCAGCCAATGCCACAACACGAGAGCTCGAGGTCGCTGGTTTGAACTGTTCTTCCGCAGAACCAGCACTCGCGCTAGAAATGCACATTTCAAAGGCACGGGGGCTCGATTGCGCTTGTAGCTTTGGCTACAGTATCAGCTTAAGGGTGAACTGAGGCACCCTATAGGGTGAACAGAGTATACACATTTTCATAAAAGCGTACGATGGCGCGTTTATTGCTGCGTTTGTGTGTTACGCACTGGCACTTTCTGACTGGCCGCAATAGAACGATCTCACTAAGCGTTCCACGCATGCGTGACGCCGCCATAACTTTAGTTCACAGAAGGCAGGCGGCAGTGCACGAGACGGCTCCTGTCGTCTCGTGCTCTGCGCACGAAAACCTCCGGAGGGGTTCTCGTTCGCGCAGAAAGACGAACGAGGTAGAGGGCCTTACCGCTCATTCATACTGGAAGCGGATCCGCGCTCGCTAAGCGGTTGCGAACGCGGTTGTATAAAGATCCAGTACAATTGCACGCGCACTCACACTGGAAGCGGATCCGTGTTCGCAAAGCGGTTGCGAACTCGGTTGTATAAAGATCCAGTACAATTGCACGCGCACTTGGTGTCATCAAGTGCGCGAGCAATTGTACTGGATCTTTATACGACCGCGTTCGCAACCGCTTTGCGAACGCGGATCCGCTTCCAGTGTAACCGCTCATTCAAACGGGACGCGGATCCGCGCCCAGTGTGACTGAGCAGTTAATGAGCGGTTAGAGCGATAAACTGGCAGCTGAAAGTGACGTTTCTTTTGTTTTAAGTCGAAAATGTGTTTTTTACGACAAAAACTCGGGCAGCTTCGCAATGCCTCCACTAGATGCCGTCTGCCGCGGTGCTGTATTTTGTGTGTTCATCGGAGATAGACACTGACCTCTGGGGTTAACAGTATTGAAAAAAAGTTTATCATATTTTTCACTGCGATGGCAATACAAATGTCGGCTAAGTTTTGCGTAAAAGCCTCAGGATTTGGTACGGTCACGTATCTATAGCGGTCAAAATTGTACAACATGGTGGCAGCCAAGTGGGGTCACTTTTGCCTGGTGAACTGGATACAAGTTTATCGCCTCTAAGCCCCTCTACCTCGTTAAGAAAGACTAAAGTTATCTCGATGCATTGCTGCATCGGCGGCTTAACGAAACTAGCTGGTGAGATCGACCTATTACGAGCGAGCGCTGTCTGCACTGTGATTTAGCACGTGTGGACTATGATTTTCGTAAACAGGTACGTGCAGAGTGCCTTGCCGCTAGGAGCAAACGTATGCAGGCCAGGTGGTTATGAAACATCACAATTTAAAATCGGTGTAGATTATGATGCGCCACTATGCGCTTCTAAGGGCAAAACGAGCCATCTACCTCGCGCGATGGTGCATGTGACGCTATATAGAAGAAAAACACGGACATATCAAGGGGTTTTAGTTAACAGTAAAATTAATTAGCAGTAACAAATGAACAATAATTTTATTACTGCGCGCCACACCTGCTGTAGAGCATCTGATGGCTTGCAGTCAGCGTTTTGATAGGAAATATTTTCCAGGCCCACAAGGATTCAACGAAACGTAGGCTCTTCCTTTTAGGACTCCCAGAAAGATCATTCTCGTTCCGAGAAGTTATAAAACACGACCGTGCTTTTCAAATGTTAAATTTACTGTAAATGCGGCGCCCGAATAACGACGCGCGCGTGGAAGTAGAATTCAGCATGTAACGGCCTTGAAACAAGCCGTTGAGGTGCTAATGCCAAGTTTTGGTGAGAATGACAGGCGTTTAGAGAAATATTTCTTTCAAGAAGCGAGCAAAGCTTTCCTAATAGGATTTTAAACCAAGAAAGAATAAGCTCGAAAACTGTTCACAATGATAAAAATATTGGGGGGGGGGGGGGGGGGGGGGGAATGCCGGATGTAGACATTTATAAATGTAAGAATGACTTCTAAGAAGAGCGACGTCAACGTGTCGAGGACGAAGAGCGTTCCTAGCGCCCAGGCATCCTGCACGTTTCTCACCGGGCAATGCTCGGTCCCATACTGTTGCACACACCATGTAGACAGCCTAGAAAATTAAGCGGTTTATTTGCCCCCAACCTTCCACGCAGTCCCCTTCTCATCCCACCGAAACCTGCATCGCTTTGGAAGCTTAATAAAGGTTTTCGAATTTTGCGAGAAAAAGAGGTCACTAGTACTAAGGAAGTCATAGGATACGTTTAATGACAGTACTTCCTAATATTATTTTACGCGGAATCAAGCAGGCACTGATGGTGTCGATGCATTGCAAAAGAACAGAACTGCGTTGAAAAGAGATGCGACACAAATTGGTGAAATCCATTAGTTTTATAATTTACATTATAATTCGAATTTGAAGTTTCTCATATATTTGTTTTTCGATGCCATTCAATATCGTACATAATAAATGTAATTTTTCTTTGCAATATTTGTTGCCTTCGAACACATCACAAATGCCACATTGAGGCTCGTTTTGCTTGGTCACTTCTAATGAGCAGCAACTGCCAGAATTTAATGTGTGCGCTTGAAACACCGAGTCACTAGAGAGTTCTAAAACAGGGTGCCCCGACGCATTGGCGAACCCAATCCTAAAATTCCCTACTACTTACTTGATCCTTGACGGCAATGATGGCGCGGAGGCTCCAGAGAATTATAAGAATGATGCAGCTTGCCGAGAGCCACACGATCCAGGGTATCAGGTAATAGCGCCTTTTCTGAAAACAGGAGCACGAGTGAACTTACAACTTACAAGTCGTTCTCCCGTCCGATTAAATTATTCAAACGCGCGTCATGGTCGAAAGCAGTACGAACTACTGAACTGTGAACGACGATGCCTACAGCTTCAATGTTTTAGGGGGGTGTTCTCACCGAAGCCACATAATTATGAAAGGTTGATAGGTTGTGACAATTTGTAGGCAGGATTCATCTTGTGTTATAAGTTGTCCCGTTGGGGTCTAGGCTAACTTGTCGAAAGCCGACTCGTCGACGGCCAGCTCGTCGGCGGCCCATTCGTCGAATATTCCAATTCGTCATGGTGCAACTCGTTGAAGAAAAACTCGTCGAAAAGGCCAACTGATCGCCGCATTTTCAAAGTCAAAATATGTCATTTTTGTCCTGAAATTCGAAAGCAAATACTTCCCTATAATATTCCGTAAAATTGTCGCACGGTAATTGGCCTCCAGTGTTTTCTTTCCTCTCGAAGGTAACAACTTCCTGCTTTCGCCGCTTTCATGGTGCAGTGGGAGACGGTCATTACGGTCATTACGTCGCGCGTCTATCACTGGGGCTCGTGTTAGCTTACCCGACCCATTTCTTACGCCGCTTCGCGGCGACAGTCTGCGGCGGCTCATTACAAAAAGTAACAAAGAAAAGGAACAAAAAGACAATCCCGAGATGACACATTTCTCAACTTGTCTCAAGGTATTCTCCTGTCTTCGCCCTCTTGTGATTTTTCTTTCAGTCATGTAACCTGACAAGGGTGCTGTCCCTAGACCAAACGCAAATAAAACATTAGGTCAAAAGATAACAAGAAACCCCAAACCCTTACCTCGGGCCGTCATTCAACCCATTCCACAAATCGCCTTTGGACAGATTTCCCCTTTCGACAAGGTACCTTCGACGAATCGCCCGATTACGAATCGGCCTATTCGACGAATTGGCCTATTCGATGAATCGGCCTATTCGGCGAATTGGCCGTCGACGAGTTGGCCGTCGACGAGTTGGCTTTCGACGAGTTCGCCGGATCAGTGCTGTCCTTTTTTTTTTTTTTCTCGTCTTAGGGTTTACAACAAAGTCCTTTCCCTAGCAGCTCGCCTGCACACATTTTTACCTTAAAATTTTTGTTTTGAGCGTGTTTTCAAACGTCGAGCTACGAAGCAAGCAGACATAAAAACATAGCTTCGTGCGAAACAATTCATTCCATGCTCATTGAGAATATAAAATGTAGAATTTGTCACATGTAAAAGTTACTTTCACGTGTATATAAAGTATGCTCGAATCTTAAATATCATCGGCAAACGCGGAAGATTTTGTCACAAACATTTTGCACGTACGGCATACACGCCTAGCAGACGTGCACGTGTCGGTGTTCGTGGCACACCGCTCTCTGTGTTAGCAAGGGTTATCAGTAGTTACTATGACTCTGCCGCTATAAACACGATTTTTTTCATATGAATATGTAAGGCAACTAAAAACAAAGATATCAGCACACTCACAAGATTAAACGAGTGACTGTGTCTCTAGCACACATGCACACACGCGCACATACAACACGTTGTATGTCAAGTTAACTTGGCTTACCTTTAATAATCCGATAACCAGAAATCCGCTCAGCACAATAACCAGGATGTTATCGGGCAGGAGAAGCTTCAACGACGTAAGCTTGTCTAAAAATTAAAAGAAAAAAGACAAAAGCTCATTATCAGCCTTGAGATGATGTCGCTTATAGTCATATTCCCACCCTGAATCTCTGTCGTACAAGCGTTTAGTGTAAATTGTTTTTTTCACACTTAAAATGAACATCGGAGGTATGTGCCAATTGTCCTTATGGTGCACACCCAGACCTGCACCGAGGCCGCGAAAACCCGGTGGTAATGTAGTACCAATAAATATTCATCGGTTAAATTGAATGATTGTCACGTAGAGGACAAAACCTCCACTATTGGCTCTCATTAGTGGATCCCTGAATCGCCCCAGGAAATAAACACGGAGCTCAACAAAATAACACGTCGGAGAACATTGCTCGTGGTGAAATGACATGAACGCGCCAGGCAAATACAAAGTGTAAAAAATAAATTACATATTGCAAATTCTCATTCTCCGCCCAACTGTAGTGCTAGAGGTCCGCACCAGATGCTAAACGATTAAAAAAATAACCCTTACCTTACTAAAACAGGTAATGTGATATTCTGAAAATTTCAATGGGAAAGTGGTGGCCGACGGCGCCATCGTATACAGAGCTAAACGACATCACACAAAAAAAAAAATTGCGGTGATTTAGTTCGGCTATGCCAGGATATACGTAGCGTAAGCTTATGCGCACAAAATAAGAGGCGCTATCAAGCGGCTCCGGTGCAGCGTCAGACTTGGCTACTGCGCAACGGAGGCGCACAGCTGGGCACGCGGCGGCGCCAGTGCGTCTGCCGCGGCTATGACGTCACTCCTCTGGAATGCGCAGACCGGTGAGGCGGGCGCGGCGGTGGCGGAGCGCGCGGTGGCGGCGGCTCCGGCGCGCTAGCTGTGCGCCGTGTGACGTCACTGCCCCTCGCACATGCGCAGCACGGAGCACGGCTCATTATGCGAGTCACGAGAAACTGCTCAACCTCGGCCAGTCTAACTCACGCTACAAAAAAAAAAAAAAAAAAAAAAAAAAAGGCCACCATTTTTGCATTGAAATTTTCAGAAAATGTTACATCTTTTGAATAAGATAACGGTTTGTTCTGTAACGTGGACATCTAGTTCGGACCGCCGCAGCTACATTCGGGCGGAGGCTAAGCGTAATGTAGTTTTGCGTTAAAAATATTTTCCCCCCTTTTTAACATTCTGCAGAACAATGCGCGTCTCTTCCTGCATAAGAGGGGAATTAGGAAAACGTTAGAACTCTCCGTGCATGAGAGAAGCAAAAAAAGAGTGCAATTTAATGATTACGAGTGCGACGAACCTCCTTCTAGAAGACAGCGACAGGACTGGGGGGCTATGTTGCAAATTTTGGACTCCCAGGAGACTAGGAAGAAGGAAGTGACGTCAACAACGCAGCACACGCAGATTGGATGTTGATATTTTTTTTCTCCTGTCAACATCCAATTTGCGTTTGCTGTGTCGTTGACGTCATTTCCTTCTCCCTAGTCTCCTGGGAGTCCAAAACGTGCAACATAGCCCCCCAGGAACGGCAGGAAGGTCTTTCATTACTCCCGCCTCCAGCACGGGCTTCCTATACATTTATAACACTACGGCTACGGAGACAGCTCGGGTGACGTGATAGAAAATACGCCTTGAGATAAAGATAAACGTCTGCGATCGCGATCACGACGTGATCGTGACGTGAGCGTGTGAAACGTCATGCTCAGTGTTCCTTCCAAAAAAGGGCTCCTGGCCTATTCCACTTTCAGTTTTCGTGCGTATGGCGCGCGATCTGCTCGCTCTCCGAAGCGGCGAACATGCACGTGCTGGGTTGAGGAGATCGCACGCTGGCTGGGGAAGCTGGGGACTTGTAAATATTGGAATGGCGTCTAGGTTCTTTCTGGATCGTCATTCGACGAGTTCTCTCCGTAATTCGCAGCGACTTGTGCTTCGAGTGCTCTGCGAGCAAGTAGACTCACGGGCATGTTTAGGGCGTACAGTGTACACTCAAGTGAAGTCATGTGCAATGAAATGCTTGTGTGCTGAACATATTTGTTGTTCACAGCGTAACAATCTGAATCGTTGCTGGATTGCATTCCGAATGTGATTTCGTTGTGGACTTTATAGTTGCGTGCTTGTTTATTCACGGAAAGCACGTTTACCTGAAGCGAATTACCCAGTTTAATGGAATTCGCCATCAAGCATATGGCCCATTTATGCGTGATTATTGACATCAAATATACTCTATCGCAAATAGATATTTAATCTTGGATAAGTCAATCTCTCTAAGCGTTCCATACATGCGTGATGTCGCCATAACTGTAGTTCATTGGCGACGTGCGCGACCGAAAGCGTCGCTGTGGTTGGCCTTCCACGATTGGCCGAACGCTGACTATGACGTCAGAAAAGAATTTATCATCGACGGAAATAAGAGGAATGAAAGAACTTTAATTTTGACGGTGTTGGCAGTGTTCCTTTGAGAGCGCAATGATTTCAAGCTTCCACCATGCTATTTACGAACGCCATCGAGCTCGTTGTTTGCAAGGTAATGACGTCACAAGAGGGAGCCGTAAGAGGGCGCCACTAAAACATCTCGCCGCTTATAGGAAACAGGAGCCAGTTCACGAAGCGGGACGAGCTGTCTCGTGAGCTGGCGTGCACGAGACAGCTCGTGCCGCCTCGTGCTCTGCTCGTGCAGCCCACAGAGGGGTTTTTCGCGCGTGCAGAAACACTACGGCTCTCACGATGCACGGTGGCAGCGGTGACGTAATGAAAGTGGCTGTGAGTTTGGTCTATTGAACAGCGAAACGGGCTTATGAAGGGAGCAGTAACTCAAAGTATACTTTTTTAAAACATGACGTGCTTTTAACGCCGTCCCCCATCCCCAAAGTTTCTGCGTCCGTCCGTCCGTTCCTCCATGCATTTCCCGCTAAATTTAACGAGGGAATGTGGCGCCACGTGACCTATACTCCTTAAAACAATCAGCGGCATGTGGCCCACACGTCAACTAAGTTTCTCCGCTAAATTTAGCGAATAATTCGCATCTTTTGGCCCAAACATTAACTCAGTTCCCTTGATAAATTTAGCGGGCAATGGACGTCATGTGACATGGATGTGCACCAACTCATTTACCTTCCATATTTAGCGGGAAAATGCATGTCTTGTCACCTAGACACCCATCCAGTTTCCCGGTAAATTTAGCGGGGAAACTGAGTGGTTGCATACCTCACGTGACGTCGATAGCGCGAAAATATACGTCACGTGAAACGAATTCCCTCACCAATTCCCTATAACGCATTTCATGCATTATAGGACTTTGAAGGTAAAGGTCGGTACCAATATTTTTTACAGAAATGCACGCTAGTTATTATGAGACATATTTTAACCTGGAATTTCGGGGGCTAAGTCCATTTGTTCAACTAAGCGTTTTTACCTAAAACGTTTTCTTACGCTAGGTTATGGGTCACCGGGACATCCGTGCTTCTTATGGCGCTCGCCAAGCTACTCCTTGAATTGGTTGCCACGCTTCACACAAAGCACGGATGTCCCGGTGACTCACACCGTCACCAGACTAAAAGCCCTTACGCGCAGCTGCGTTTGAGAGCTTTGAGTGCGTTTGAGTGCGTTTGACTGCGTTGCGGCTGCGAGGAACCAGGACATTCATACTTCTTATGTCTCGTGCCAAACTATCCCTTGAATTGAATTCCGCGTTTCATACGAAGCACAGATGTACTGTTGACTCGCTTTCATTTCTTGACGCAACGCAGTCAAACGCACTCAAGCGCTCTGAAACGCAACTGCGCGTAAATGCCTTTAAAGTGGTACGGAAACGAAATGACGTGAGATCGAGCTCTCTACCCATCGCTTCAAAGTCGGCGAGCGAGAAGCGGAATGCGTATCGCGCTCGTGACGTCAGTAGTTCATGCATGGCCAAGGGTACTGTAGTTGCGTGCGTTGCCACTTGGTAGCGTCGACGCGTAACAATCTCGCCTAGTAGTAATATCCGAGTACTGTACACTGGGTGCCACACTCTGAAGAAAAAAGGGTGTCAAAAGTTGTATTCTTACACCCTTTGTCCCATATAATACACCCCAGAATTTCAATTCGACGTACAGTGCCCTACAGTCGAACAGAGGGCCCAAAATTTTACGAGGGGCTTGATAGCCGTGTGGTACAACATTTTAAATAGCTAAAATACGTATCAAAGACCACATAAAGCACCGATTTTTACAGCAGGGCCAAGAAAAGCCCGGATTATTTTTTTCGTGTTCAGTGAAACGTACATTAGCTATTTTAATAAGTTGTACCACATGGCTATCAAGCCCCTCGTAAAAGTTCGGGCCGCCTGTTCGAATGTAGGGCGCTGTATGTCGAATTGAAATTTGGGGGTGTATTATATGGGACAAAGGGTGTAAGAATACACCTTTTGACACCCTTTTTTCTTGAGAGTGCATAAGCACATCCGGGGTGAGGGTGTATAGGGCCTGGCAGAGGTCCTGGCATTATCAGATCAAGCCCAACTAACGTCTGCGAAATACGGCGATCTGGATGGTGTAAAATGCACGTTGCGGAAACGCTGTGAAGCCATCAACGTATACAACGTATACATATTCCGTTAACCATTAAGCTGAGACTGCAGTCAATGCCAGAAGTACGAGAGCTCGAGGTTGTTGATTTAAAGTGTTCTTCCGCAGAACGAGCACTCGCGCTAGAAATGCACGTCTCAAAGCCAGGAGTGCGGGCTATCTCGCGCTTTTAGTTTTGGCTGCAGTATCAGCTTAAGGGTGAAGAGAGTATAGCAAACGAGTTAAGGCCGGTTCAGACACTTGCATTTGAGTGCGTTTGACTGCGTTGCGTCGCGAACTGAAAGCGAGTCACCGGCACATCTGTGCTTCGTATGAAGTAAGGAATCCAATTCAAGGAATCATCTTGGCACGCGATATAAGCAGCAGGGATGTCCTGGTTTCTCGCAGCTGCAACGCAGCTGCAACGCAGTCAGACTCAACTGTCTGAATCAGACTTTAGCGTTCTCCGCCATGTCACATTCAGGACTAAGTAACCCCACGAGCGAGCCATACTGCCACCACGGCTGCCACGAACTGGCGTTGCTTCTTAGGAACTCATGATGTGCCGGCATTCCAACCGAGCTGCACAGACCGCCATTAGACACAATTTTGAAGAAACGTAATAAACCGCAGGAGAGCTGGTGAATGACATCCTTAGAAAATGTGAGGCGTACGAACAATAAAAGAACGGACAGAACAACGAAGTCTCCAACACAGCTTGAAATTTATTGAACAACCATCACGTTATATACATGTCCCAGATAGGGTGACCACCTTCCGGCAGGCGAAATGCGGGACATCCTGAACGGGGGGGGGGGGGGGGGGGGGGGGGGGGGGGGCGGGCGGGGCGGGGGGGGAGGGGAGGAAGGAGGAGGAGGAGGAGGAGGAGGAGGAGGTAAAAGGAGGGTGGTATTTTCATAACTCAAGAAAAAAAAATATTTAAAGAACAGTCACCATCGCCCGCACCCCGATATCCTGTGCTCTGCGAAAGCATATTATACACCTGAAAATTGTGTGGCGGCAATTAAGCTAAAATAATTTTCATTCACAGTGATATATTTTTGTGTAATTGTAATGGGAAATAGTTTATTATGGGTGTCTAAGTTGAAACCATAAAAATTGACTGCAGCAGATCAAAATGCATGAAAGGGAAATAAGAAATCGTAAATCTTTTTCGGCTTATTGTTTCCTATCGATCCTTACTCTTATACTAACATGCTCTTTCACAAAATTAGAACCTTATGTTGCTGTTTTTTCGACCCTTGTGAGACTAAAAAAAAAAGCTTTACACAACAACCCTTTCACATGACACAGTATGATTTGCAAATAATTACAATAGTTTATTTTTCAACTTTTGGCGAGCAATTGTCGCTCGCAATATTTTGCCATCAAGGGGACAGGCACAACGGCACATGTGCGTCTTTTTCCTGCAAAAACGACGGTCGCTTCCCGCAGTGCTTGTATAGAAAATGGCATACCATTAATACTCACATGCTTATCAGCGACCTCCGCGCTACCCCGTGGCCCGTTCTTCGGAAGCGCCATAATTTGCGTAGTGAATGCTACGACAATGTCAAATGAGGGACATTTTAAAGATTTTAGTATTTCTTGCGGGACGCGGGACACGCGCTCTCAATGCGGGACAGTCCCGCGAGTCGCGGGACGGGTGGTCACCCTAGTCCCAGACCTCTTTCACAATTAAAATGACCTTCTCGCCCTCTACACAGTGTACCCTAACTTTTAACCTATACTGAGAACCGCACACAACCCAGAACCACAAAAGTTTACACGCCCGAAGCATAAAAGAACGTAAATCCAAACTTTCTCGCAATAGTATTGTGTGTGGTTACATTTTCCTTTGTTTTCCATTTTTGCATGGGTTTTTGCCCTTTGATGCTTCGGGCGTGTATGCCTTTGTGATTCTGGGTTGTGTGCGGTTGCCGGTATAGCTTAAAAGTTATGGTACACTGTGTAGTGGGTGAGGAGGTCGTTTGAAATGTGAAAGAGGTCTGAAACATGTATATAATGCGATGGTTGTTCAATAAATTTTAAGCTGTGTTGGAGACTTCGTTGTTCTTTCGTTTTTTTTTTGTTCCTACGTCTTAGGGTTACTATGGATACAATTTAGAAATCAGTTATATCATTTTGAAATTAGGTTTCTTGAGTTTTCTGCAGGCAGCTGATAAACACTAGTATAGGCTAGTGTTTCTGGGCTGCCGCCACAACATAGACCACGTCTAAACAAAGAAATAAGTGCAGACATTTCGTTTCATTACCCCTTTAAGCTCGCGTGACATAACGCAATGGAAGAAAACGATACTCTGTGAACCAGTCTTCAGATATAAACTACGATGCGGAAGCTCCCTCATTACTCCAGCTATAATCATAATTTATTTTGACCCTCCAGGTGTCCATTGGCGACTTAAGTTTTTCTCGTACCGAACACATTACTTACATCTCACGGTCCCGGGCAGCTCTGGCGTTGATCCATTTTCGTGAGCGTACGAAGCTAGGATGACGACACACGCGATCGATGCTACGACGCGACAAATCTAGAAAAGAAGAAAATTGAGCTTGATTCCTACGTTACCGAAATACGAAGGACAAACCGTTTTTTTTTTTTTATGGCTGTGTGAATTTCGGTTCAAATTAAATAACGCGTTGTCGTCCCCATAGTTTGTGAACTGTTGAGAGAACCGGTTGCCGATGGCCTACTTTCGCATTGTGAGGGTCATGAATGACGCAGTACTAATTTATTTAAATTAGTATTCGCGTATCACTAATAAGCTTTCGTGTACATGCAAAGCAGTTATACTACAAGTTTGGTTATAGGCGCATTCACCGAAAACTAAGAGTAAGTGAAAGCTGGTTCACATAGCTGCGTTTGCTTATGACCTAGTTTTTGTGATCTCTTTAACGAGAGAACGCAATGGCACGCTGGCGCCACCTATGAGGAAGTCCAGGTACTGTATTTGACTGCAGCAAAGGTTTTGCGCTATTTGTGAGATTCGATGTATAGTACGTACATTCTGTATATGCTCCTCGAAGAAAGCAAGGGGCTCCGTCAAGCTGTTCTCACATCATTTTTTTCCTTGTTTGTTTTTCATTTATGTATCAAAATATAAAATAAAGTTCCTTAAAAAAATGGTTGTTTATAACATAGTCAAACGTTTTTCAAGCCAATAAATAAAGTTATGCGCGAAACAAAATATGAATTGGCAGAAACCCTAAATGTTTTACGGCTGCCCGATACATGGCGCCAGTGTGTTATCCCGTCGCAAGAGCCTTACGAGAGGTTTTAAGATACTCGGTCATAAGTGTGGGAACCAGCTCTTTATATCTCTAACCTGGAATGTCTAGAATAAACAACTTATTTTAACGTGAAACGCTTTTCGGCAGTTTTGAGCTTAAGTGAAGCCACAAAAAGCGTAACTGCGAGTTAGTGGAGTTAGCACCAGTGAAGTTAGCACCTCTAACTCTAACTAACACTAACTCTAACTAACACTTACTCTAACTCACTCTAACTTTAACTAACTCTAACTTGAACTCGAACTGTAGCTCTAACTCTAACTAATAGCCACCACTCACCACTAACTCCACTAAACACTCTTGTTAGCGCTAGTGGTTTAGCACCACTAGCGCTATACCAAGTTTCGGAAATTAAAAACAGCGCGGAAAGACGAGGACCAGACAACGAAGTGACACGGACGTAGCGCTGTCCGTGTCACTTCTTTGTCTGGTCCTCGTCTTTCCGCGCTGTTTTTAATTTCCGAAGTATGTACCAACTCGCCCAAGCCTCAACTTTAGCTATACCAAGAACGTTTCACGTAGCAACAGAATTGCAGGACAATTACTATACATTATTTTTTGCCACCGTATAGTGATATTTTGTGGGTGTTCCCAGTTCCAAGGCTAAAAGATTGTGGCATGCGTGTGACGTAATATTCATCATCGTTTTATGAACGAAACACCAGCAAATAAACATGGACGTAAAAAAAGGCAGCAGGGGACAAGAGACGGATCAATGAATGTTGTAATAAAACGAAAACTATAAAAAGACACCAGCTCATAAAATACAGCAAGGCTGAGAAAAAAATTATTAAAAAATGCCAAAGATATCGGATTTATTAAATTTAACTAAGATTTACTTGATTTAAATCAGAGTGATTGAAATCACTGTAGCTATACAATTTTGCTTCCTAATGACTAGATGTGTTTTTAAATATGAGAGATTGATTGATCAATCCGTTCGATCACTGAAGACAATGAAAATATTATTCTAAATATAATCTTGTGTGAACCCCGCAATTGTAGAACGGAAATCAGCTTGATATATTTCAGTTTGTGAAAAAGCCTCTGCTTTTTCTTTTGCGTTTTCACTCTCTTGTAATAGGACATTACTTTTTTGTGCTATTTTCTTTCTTTCGCGTTTTTATTTACATGTATAGTAAGACATTATGTGACTGACGAACCAAGTAGATATTAGAATAAAAGCTCAACATTCAGATTTGCTCAGACGACCACTGCTTTGTTCTCGTGCTCAGCCTGATATAAAAATTTTTTGCTCGATATTTTCTTGGTTTGAATACAGGACATATTCCGACAAAGAATATTAAATGAAAGACAAACGGTGAATACAAACAAAAACTATTTTGGGTCCATTCTGGAAAACAGGAACGACGAAATTGTCAAACCCCATGGGTGCGTGACTTTGCATTGTGCAGATATATGAATAGTTTCTATCAGACAATGCCAGTGAAAGGGCCGTAACCTAGGCGTTATCGCCCAAAAAGTTGATTATCGAGGCTATGTGTATCCACCGCAGGGATGTGCTGCCACCTCCGATTGCTAGGTCTATACGCCGCCGATGCTACGAGTCGATGAGACCACTCAAACTGCGCCAACAGCGCACAAACATTGTGTTCATCGTGTTTCTGCGCAAATTACAAGGCCTTTTCCCGTACAGCAAAGGTCCAGTGCGTTGCGCTTTTGGTGCTGTTTGATTGGTTTCACCTCCTTTAAGCGTCGACCGCGTCCAAACTTACGGCGAAACGAAGCTATTGGCGCAATCTACGCTACGGCTGAGTCGGTTGCCAGTAGCGACAGACACGGCGCTGGCCGCCAGCGAACACCACCCGTGGTTTGTGACGTTGGCCGTCGTCAAGATCGCGCCACCGAGAATTCAACGACCGATTAACGGACAGACGTACTTCAGGGGTCTACTCACGATGCAAGTGACTCCGATGAGGAGCGCTCCATCCCGCACATTGCACACGAAGCAGCATTTATTCAAAATTGCCATCGACTGGGTCGCGCCGAGCTGCTGGTGGCGGCGGCCGGGCGAAAATCTGCAACTCGGAGCATGAGCTCAGCGTTTGCGCCAAGCTGGAAACATCCTCGGCGGCTCGGGATTGCTTACCACCGCCGCTCTTTTTGACTGCTTCTCTTTTAAGCGGATTGGAACATCGCCAGCGACTGTGAGTCGGGATCTCGCAGGCTCCTGCGCTCTATTTTTGGAAGGGATCGTCGCTCGAGAAGGCGCACAACCTGCGCCATCCAGGGCCGATCTTGGCAAACAGGGCAGAGAGCTTCGGAAGACTTAGGTGCACACGCCATACAATTTCAAGCATGGCGCCCCAATGCACAAACTTCATGCACGCTTCGTTTTTTTTTCTTTTTCACCGAAAACATAGTTCAGGAGAAGTGACCAGTTCCTTTGTGCAAATGAGATAACGCAGTTCAGTTATTCTCGTTGTTGGTTGGGCAGACTAGCAGAGGAAAGTCGTAGATTGCTGGCTCTGCGAACCCGAGACGTGCCTCGAGGGGTCGCCAGTTCCTCACGTTGTGTAATAACTCATCTGCCGCAAACATGCTGAGAATGTCGAACAGATTAATAAGTTCGTCTCAGGTGTACCGGAGCCCTCATCGCTCCAGGGGCTTTGTAAGACCCTGCGAATTGCTTTCGGTCTTGGGTTTTGTCATAGTATACAGGAGCGAGAGGCATGCCGATTGTTCATTTACGACATGAGTGATATAGCCTTTGATGTGTGCCTTTGCAGATAACTCGAGGCCCGGCATTCTTCTCATGGTTAATTCGGGCGATCGTCTCCCGGCAAACTATTTTGCCATATCTTCGGCGAGGGCGTTCGCCTGGTCAAAGGTTGGCAAATGCGTGCCGTTCAGATGGCGCTTTTCAGGCGTGTGCCGGCAATTTTCTGGCACAATTTTCGCCCCAGGTCCAAGAGGTCGGGCAGCTTGTTTGCCAGGCTGTATCCGGCATCGTCATATCCGAAATGGGAAAGGGAACCAAACAAGACATGCAGTGCTCGCCGATAACGGGTTCGAGTGGCAATCAAAGCCATCAAAGCAGACACCATTTTTTTCCGTGTGTTTGGTAAAATTATGGCAAAATCAACGAAGATTAAAATAATTATTCTTTAAAGGGAGTTAACATTTTCGGAAGTTGCGCTGAAAGTTGCGAATTTTGCAACTTTCAGCGATGGTGGTACCGCGCTGTGAGAATCGTGCTGCTCCTGGATTATTGGCCTCATAATAAATGGGCTTGTATACACCTTCTTGACGTAAAACAAATAAAGTAAGGCTGTAATACTGCTCGTATATAGCAAAACTATATTTACTTACGCGTCGCAGACCCAGCCTCGTACTGCTGTTTTACGACGATTGTCCAGATGACAGTCATTTTGATAGGCGATAGTGCGTCCCCTATACGTCATGAAAGTTGCGAATACTCCGCTCACCCCTAAGCTGAGACTGGAAGCTCTGCCTTCAGCGCGAGCTAGCTGGCTTCCACAGAGCTTTCGTTGCGTGTGTCTATGCTTTCACAATTGTGTTATCTAAAGTCTCTAGATGAAAGTTTCCTACAAGTAGCGACGTTCTTTGAAGCGCCAACTGCGTGACGGTGCAGGTTTCAGGAAGCAAATAGCGGCGCACATGCCGCCATTTTGTTCCACCGAAATGTGCTTTGTCATTTGTATTGGTTGTTGTTACTTGTAAAAGAAGTATCACGGGACTTTAGTGTTAGCAAGCGCAGAAATTTCGCACTGAAGGCGGAGGTTTTAGTCTCAGCGGGAATTAATGAAGTACAGCGGTACGCTTCGACTGTGGGGGCACCAAAGCGAATTTCCTTGTTTGTTTTTGATCAGGTAATTTGAAGATGACAACTCGAAGGCCTCTCCTCGTGCGACCAAAGCATTGGAGTAAAGTATTTGGCACTGGTATAGGGTGTACTATAATGGGGAGGAGGGGGCGATCGGTGGCCGAGTGGGCTAGCGCACACCAGCTCGGAGCATGTGGAGCAAAAGCTCGCGCAGCAGAACCCAGGATCCTGGGCTCAATCCCCACCCCTGCCCGTTTCGATGTGGATGACCATCGTACCGGCGTGCGGTCGTGTATCACTGCTGCGTGATGCACTTTAAAGACCCCAGGCTAGCGGTACTGCCCTGGCTAAATTGCACAGCTGGGAGGCTCGTCGCCCGTCAAGGCAGATCAAGCTCTGGGCTGTATAAACATACACACAGCCTTATTTTTTAGAATGGGGACGTGTGCCGTGCGCCGGCCGCGAGTGTGACGCGATATGCAAGCACGCCGTTGAGGGCACTGTGGGGCACAGCGCGGTGAGCGCGGCCATCCCACGGCTGACAAAGACCTGTGGCCGCAGCAGATATGCTTTATCCGGCGCGAAAGTGGCCGTATTCTTCGTTTGTTTTTGTTCGCTCGGTTGTGAGAGAGAATTAGTTCCATCCTATCTCACACCCCTGTGAACAAGGGTGGCCTGCGCGAGCGGTTCAGTTACAGCAGTGCCACACGGGGAACTTGAATGCCATTTACAATGAATGACATTCGTGTGATCAACAAATCGGCTCGCGATCTGTCGCAAAAAAAAAAAAAGGGTTTTGGGGATATTTATACAGCGTGTAGTTGGTCAGCCATCGATCTGTCGCTCGGAGTCGCCCACGCTCGGAGTGGCGCGCGCTGATTGGCCGATCGTTCAAATGTCATTTGTTGTAAATGGCATTTGAGTTGGCCGTGTGGCACGGGTATGACTCCTCACTTCTCCATCTCTCTTTTTTTTTTTTTTGCTGCTTTAAATAAATAATTGTCTATCTCACCTTACATATCAGCGTAAGAAAGCGAAGCTTGACTATGGTATGATATGCGATGCTTTCCCCTCCAGTTTAGTTTTAAAACTCTTCATTTTATTTTTGTCGACGGCTGCACGTTTTGCAGACATTTAAATATCTATGTTTTGTGCTGGTGTCAATACATCTTTTTGGTGTAGCATAGATTAAGGAAACCGAGTTTTTCTTGACTTCTGCCCTCTCAGCCAAAGATTGCCAGGAAATGTCGGAATTGAGTTTATCTATAGTCGGATGCAACCTAAGAACAATCTTTTAGCTCCACCCACAAGCGCATTGCGCCCATCTGAAGTGCGTCCGCCGTCGAGAGAGTAGTTCGCTAGCAACGTTGCTTTTTCTTCCTCCAGGAAACGTGTCTCAAACTACTACAGAATTTATTTAATTCATTCAGGACATTTAAATAAGTTAGAATACGTTTTCGTCAACGAAATAGCTGTTTAGTAAAGAAAGAAAGTCATGTCCAATGTACCGTCTTCCCAATATTCATTTTCTGTCCAAGATACTGTCTAACATACCGTCTAACATACCTCTCAGCAGTGCTAAGCCTCGCGCCCGCTTAGAAATTTTCGTTGGCGATAGCGTCGCTGGATTCTCACGTTGTCGCGCGAAAACTGCTGCAAACGCAAGCCGATACCATTAAGATTTTGTTGCGTAACCTCGGGCACGTAAAACACGGTGCAGAAAAGCAGAATAATTGTCACGAGAAACTAGCGTCGCGTTGCTAAGGCCAGCAGCCATGTTGGGCTTTTCTTTTTTTTCAAAAGGATCGCGATTGGCCCACGGAATCGTGACGTCATGAAAACGATTGGCTGGCGTTTCTCGGCGTAGGATTACATTTTCCTCTGAGAGGCATTTCCGGTTTTTTCTTAGCTTGCAACCGACCAGAGCCGTTTACCGACTATAGTGAGCAAAAATAGAAAAATAAACGGAAGAAGAAGAAGCCTCGAAACAGCCTGTCGCAGTTTCGTGGCTCTCAGCTTATTTTTCATAAATTGGCCAATCTTAAATAATTTTCAGTTGTTATTCCAGTCGCAAGCATTGCATATTTAACCTGGCATCTGCACCGGCAAGTGTGAATACCAAGAAACGGTCGTCGACGGCCAGGAAATAGCCATTGCCATCGCAACCCAATGCCATTCCATCGATAAAGCCACCCACCACCATGGAAAAAGTACCACCCTCCAAGGAACAAGGTAAATCACCTTCACCAAATAAAAATCCACCCTCCCAACAGCTGGCACCGACGGACCCAGCTACCCACTCAGATATACAGGCGGAAGCCGTCATTCCCATCAAACGGCAGTGCCTTGAAGGCGCACGCAGACTCGACCCGCAGAGGTCAGACCCTCCATCGAAAGCGGCGACTTCGACTTACACGTTGCAGGAAAGCATGCATTATAACGACGATGACGCGAGTTTCACAATCGTCTCTTACAAGGAAAACCGACCAGGAGGTATCCGAATACTTTTCATCCGACGTCCAAGGAGACTTCCTTCTGGAAGGTGAATCCGAATGTCCTGGCACGAGAGGTATTGGGAATAGCACAGGAGAAAATACTCTCACACAGAATCACCAGGGATGGCAGCCTATCGGTCAGTGTAGCGTCCCTCCCTGCGGAAAATAAACTGCTTGCGCAAACACCCCTCGCGGGAATCGAGGTAAGGGCAACCACTCCAAGGTCCTACTCCGAAAACATAGGCAAAATCAAAGGAGTTCCTCTCCAATACTCCGATAGTGATTAATTGGAGTACCTAAAAGACAGTGGTGTACTAACTGCCCAAAGACAGGTTCCATACCAAAGACAAGAAGATGGCGCTTCAGTGGCCCGTCCCAAAAATAGCGTCATACTTCGCTTCACGCAGAACCGCCCATGCCCCCCAGGGCACGCTTGGGGTTCACCAGCCACCCAGTGGAAGAGTACTTCGGTTCTCCCCTTCAATGCTACCAATGTCAGCGATTTGGACATATTGCCAAGAACTGCCGCGGTGCCCGCCGTTGCAAAATATGTGCAGGTCCACATCACCATCAAGAGTGCAGCTCACGAGCTGAACCTAAATGCGCCAACTGCGGCCAAGGCCAAGCGGCAACGTTTTCCGGCTGCTCCAGTAAAAAAGCGGCAGCAGTTGTAAGAAATACAGAAATCATAACTGGCAGAACACCTACTCGACGATCTCCACCATCAAATCAAGAGATGGTGCGGATGCCTGAAACTCCAAACG